ATTGAGAACATGGTTGTTGTTCAATAATAAAATTATTCCTCAAAAATACAACTTGCCTAATAATTCTGCACTCACTGTATACATTGGAAATGCATGTTTAAAGCACTAGTTAATGAGTTGTTTTTTTTCCTTAATAGAAATAAGTATAACTGGATGTTACTGACGGTTGCAATCTCTGCAGGGAGCGGTACCAGCTGCGTGAGGCCCGGAGGATCCGCGACCTGGACCGGGTGCTGCTGGGCTACCAGACGTACCCCCAGGCTCTGACTCTCGTGTTTGACGACCTGCCCGGCCCCGACCTCCTCTGCCACCTCACCATGGACCACTTTGCTGTCAGCTGCAATGAAGCTAATCCCAGAGGAGGTGTGGCCAGCAGGGGTGCAGAGGGCGAGGTGCAGTGGTGCATTTTTGTCCCGGGAGCCGACAGCAGAGAGAGGCTGATCTCGCTCCTCGCTCGACAGTGGGAGGTGCTGTGCAGCCGAGAGCTTCCTGTTGAGCTCACGGGCTGATTGGTTGACAGCGATGACAGACAAATAGGTGACTGCTCAGCTGCTGGTTGGTGGGTGGAGTCATCATGTGATTGGGTTCATTTACACATGGACTCAGGGTTTGATTGGTTTAATCTCAGTGTTGGGCCATGCGGAGGATGAACACAAAATGAAATTTCCTCCCTTTTTTGGTTAATAATTGACAGAAATTAATAATAACTGGGGTGGAGTCGTGGGTAAAAATATTGAGACTCACTGCACTAGATGACGAAAGCATTTCTGTGCTGCGGGGGGGGGGGTTCTCAGCATTTCGGTTCTTTGAAGATGGAGGAACAGGCCACCAATCAAACACAGTTTGAAGCTTAGTGAGACTTTATCCTGAGCTTAGACTTCTCACTATCAGTACAATTGCGGCCCAGTCAGATGACGGAGGGTGTCGACTCTGGTCAGAACACAAAAAGGGTACGTCATAATGGGCGAAAACCAGTGCTGTGACTTTGGTCCTTCCACTTCTTTGATGTTGACCAGTAGAAGCGCAGAATGCCACTAAGCTGTTTATAACTAAACATGATAGTGATGTTATCAGAGTTGTTTGGATTATTTTGGAGGACCCACGGCCTGAATCTGCTTTGCTCTCAACAGGTGTTTATACAGAAAGAGAGTAGAAGTAGTGACCAGAGACTGTGAAGCATCAGTGAAATTCAGCGACCTGTAGTGATGGGGTGCCAAATAGAAAAGGGTTATCAAGGCTAATGGAGAGCTATGTGAAGCAGAGCGGAGGGACAGAGTCACGCATAACACTTTGGTTGCTGTTGTCTGTTTACATTCTTTTCCAGGAAGTTTCTATATGGCGCCGCCTTCCTGTTGTTGTGAGAGATGAACATGATTGGTCATAGAGCAAAATGTCGACCGTTATGTCTCTCAGGCAAGAAAATGCAGGATTTTATGACCCTGCAATCGCCTAATCTGAGACGGTGACCACCGTAATTTGAAAAATCTGAGTCCAGCAATCATTCTTCTTACAGATTGGTGGGAATCTGGCTCCTTCCCCCTCAGTAGTGTCTGCACATCACTGGATTACAGTGACAGGAGACAGAAGAAAAGGCCCGTGACCTTGTACGAAGCCAAAATCCTGAGACTTTTTTTCTTTTTTTGGCACAACTTCTCCTTCTTGTAAAGTATCTAACCATGCATTGTATATTCTTTTTAAAATTTTTTAATTTTATATATTTTTTTTTTCTTTTTTTGGGGGGGGGGGGGGGGGGGGGGTTGTAGATGTTGCGCACACACAGACTGGATTTGCACAGCATTGGGCGCTGCAGAGGGTCCACGGGAGCTCCAATACTCCTAATTCAGGATTATGTTCTGGTTCATCTTCTAAGACTCCGTCTTATCCAGACTCTGATCTGAAGGTGGATCACCTCCATTTGCTGGACATGTTTAGCCTAGCTTAGCACAAATACTGGAAGCAGAGGGAAAAGGCTAGCGTAGCTTTATCAAAACAGGAAAGAAAACATTTAAATAACTCCAAAGTTATTTGATTTACTTGCTTTTATTTACTGGCTTTAAAACCAAAAATAGCTTTTGTGTGTGTTCCTATTCCTTTGTGTGTTCAGCCTGACTGATGATAAGATCGGGGGGGTTTCATTTGAAATAGCACAAACACACAGCTGCTCGGCACAATCTTCTCTCTGAACATTTTATTTCTTGCACATTATAACTGATGAAGCAGTATTACTGAACTGTATAATGAAGCTTTTTAATAATATCATATTAATATAATTGTTGCTTTTGGACAGACGGATGTTTCCCATCCTGAAGCTTATTTTGTAAAAGGACACAAGGGTCCTGATATTATTATCATCATGAACTCTGAAATGTAGTATTATCATCGAGTGTTATTTTTAATATATTTTGCTTTGTGTTTTATGTAATTTTGTTTTTCTTACAATACAAATGACACATAGGATGCTCTCCCACCCGTCACCACTGTTGTTTAACATTATTGGGCATTGTAAACGGGAAATACCACTGAATTAAAATGAAACTGAAAGCTTTCCCATGAAATATTAATTCCCATTTTGGCGGTTTGGTTCTTTGAAAAAATCAGCAGGATTTAACCACAGTCTGCAAACTTTTCAGCTGATGCAGCAATCCGACCGAAACCAAAGGAGGTCTGTTCACTCTGCGCTTCTGTGGAAAAAAGACTGACAAATGTCCGGCTCACCGGCAGCAAAAGAAATAAAAAGAACTGCGAGTGATGTGCTGATTACACTAGAAGTCAGTTACTCATTCTGTTAGCTCAGCAGAAGTAAAACTCATAAAGACTGAAAATTGCATGTTTTCCTTCACACCTCAGTCACCGTGAGGACTCCACTGTGCTTTTGTTCTTTACCTTTATATTGTGGTGACAGAAGATAAATAATTTGTTGTTGCAAAGTAGAAATATCCTTTTTTGTATTTGTGATATTCTAGTAGCCGATGAGCAGGTTGTCTGACAAGCCTTAAAACTCAGACTGCAAAATTTGATAAGCTGGCTTTAGTTAAATTAAAAATCTATTTGAGAAGGACAAGTTAGAGTTGATTAGGAGTTCTCTTTAATTTTAAGTTAAATGCCCTTTATCCATCCATCCATTCGCTTATCCTTTTCAGGGTCGCGGGGGGCGCTGGAGCCTATCCCAGCTGTCATAGGGCGAGAGGCAGGGTACACCCTGGACAGGTCACCAGTCTGTCGCAGGGCCAACACATAGGGACTGACAACCATTCACACTCATATTCACACCTAGTGGCAATTTGGATTATCCAATTAACCTATCCCCACAAGCTGCATGTCTTTGGACGGTGGGAGGAAGCCGGAGTACCCGGAGAGAACCCACGTAAACACGGGGAGAACATGCAAACTCCACACAGAAAGACCCCGGCCTGATGGTGGAATTGAACTCAGGACCTTCTTGCTGTGCGGCAACAGTGCTAGCCACCGTGCCACCGTGCTGCCCTAAATGCCCTTTATTTAAAAAAAAAAAAAAAAGCTAAAAAACAATAAAATAATGTCTCCATAAATTGCTTTTTTGTCAGTAGTTAAAATGTTAAAAGAAGCATTCCCCAACTCTGTGAATGGTATTCATGGCCGTTGATCAATTGTCAGTGATCAATGGTTGTTAATCAAGGGTCATAACAATTTGCATATTAATGATCAAGAAACTGACCTCTCAGCCCACCAGTGGTGCTACTTTCAGTAATTATGCAAATTTATTGGTTGGGAAAACCTGCAGTCGGCTGAGACTGAAGAAGTCACTTGGATGTTTCTCCCACTGAAAACGCTGCGTCCAGATAGAACTCTGGTACCAGCCCTGAACGATCAGTGCAGCGACTCATTGATCTCTACTGAAGCGTCGGTCATGGTGGCCAAATTGTAACCACATGCACACTCGAAACCTCATCACACATCCACAACAATTAAAATCTAAACACAGCAGAACTGAAGTAATAACCACAACATGATTACAGATTAGAAGCTAAATGTTTACAGTCCCGTGAGTCTTTGTGCTTAGTATCAATGTTTGTATTTTTGGCCATGTACTCCTCAATATGTGTGAAAAATCCAAATAGCTTAGTATCAGAAAGTTACATTTGAAAAGCAGAATATATATTGGGTTAAATGCACCAGTTTATGCTCAGTAAGAATATTGCTTGTATTTATAGTGTACAGGAAGTGAATACACCAGGGTGTGTCCAGGATGTTTTACAGTAAGTTTGCACAACAGTTCCATTAAACTGCTGCTTTAACGGATTGTCACATCCCTTTACGACATCAGTATGCCATCGCCTGATGGAGCGACTTTTCTTCTGGTTCTAGTGAGAAATGGAAAGATATATTTTTTAGCGTTACTTATGTTCCCAGCTCACTTGTAGCCCCTTTACCACCAACCTGGGACCAACCTGGCATCTTGACACTGATGACACCAAAGCTGAACTGAGTTTGCACTAGTGCTGGGCTGGATCAATCTAACTATCGATAACAATGCTGGTATTGGTATCCGATCGATACTATTGCAACAGGATCGCTGCTTTATTTTTATCCTCTAAGTTCAGTATGTAGCTGAGCATAATGACCCTGAATTCTGTTAAATAACATGCACTATGAAAAATGTCTGAACCCTTTGCTCTTAGTCTTACGACTAAAATAAGACAAAAGTTGTAATTAAGCACCAGATAAAAGAATGAATGTATAAATCAAGCAGTTTACCTACTGGACATTTCACCTAAGTAAATCTGTCTTATTTCTTTTTTCTGGCTTAAATGAAAAAAACAGTGTGGGGGTGGTGCTGCTGCATTTCCTCTACAGCTCAGTGGAAATGCACACCAGAACTCATCTGCATCATCAAGGGAATCCAAACATATTTGGGCCCCGTGGGATTATATATGATTTTCCTCTTGGCTCCAGACCGCTTATGCTCAGATCGAGCCTCCACAGCTCTGAGGCGATACGGATCATTTAGCGAGGGGGGGACTGCAGCCTTCGGGGCAGAGGAGGTCGCATAATCGGCCTAAAAACTTTTATTTTTTTGATTGATCTGGAGTTCATCCTCTTATGCCAAAAAGAAATTCTAAAATATTCAGAATTTCTATATCAGATAGTGTCCCTGGCTGTGTGACGGAGGCTTTCAAACAGGATTTATACCTTTATGTCTGGATATAACAGAGTGGTTTGGAATTTTACGGAAGCTAAACAAAAAACCCCTCAAAAACGTCTGCACGACTCAAATGCAGGTTGTTGGTTGACTTTGATTCATGACCTCAGTATTTCTAATCTCCTGGTACCCGTCAGCAGTAAATCACTGTCACCACGTAGTGAGATTTTGATGACTTGGTGGTTTAGTGGCACGAAAAATACTGCCGACTTTCAACTCATTCAACTTCCTCTATTTCCTGTCTGTTGACGCTGCTCATCATGAAGATTGGCTGATTTCCTTTCTAGGGACATTTTAACAGGCCAAGGCCAGCGATACTGTACCAGGAAGTGCCTGATCAGCAAAGCTTGTTATCTGACCCATGCCTGTGCCTTCCAGCAGGTCAAAAGACCAATAGGAAAGAATTTAGACCCAATATTCTGCTTTCATGTAAAGAAATAAAACTAAAAAGAGCCATCATGACCGAATAAATGATTTTGGGGGAACAAAGGGTTAGCTGGGCAAGCACAGGAGAACTGTGCTATTACCTCTGCTGTTTGGAGCACCCTCTTTTAGTTATAATTTTAACGTTTTACATATCAGGACATAAAGAAATCATTTGTTCCTTTCCAAGTCTTAAAGTTAGATAAAATCAGATAGCAACAACAGTGTTTCATTATTTATTTAACAGAAATTACCCAAAATAACCCGAATGAAAAAACAGTGTGTGAAAAACTAAGTAACCCTTAGTTTTGCTTAATAGAATTAAGTAGAAGTAGTTTTAACAGTTTGCTGGTCTGGAGCATTCAGGTGTGTCTTAACCCAACACCAAGGAGGGAAGACATCATTCATTCTTCAGTGAGAAACATTATTCACAAGAAAAAAGACATTCAAGACAGCCACCAGGAATAGATGTCCCAGAAAATTCATCTCAAGGTCAGACTGCGCAACACTCAGAGAAAGCAAAAAGCTCAGGAGCTACATATCAGGCTCTACAGGCCTCAGTTAGCATGCTAAACATTAAAGTTAATGACAGCACAGTTAGAAAGAGACTGGACAAGTGTGGCTTGTTTGGAAGGGTTGGCAGGAGAAAGCCTCTACTCTTTAAAAAACAGAACCATCACTCCCAAGCTTAGGTTTACAAAACTGCATCTGAATAAACCACAAAGACTTCTGGATCAGTGTCCTTTGTACAAATGAGACCAAAGCAGAGATGTTTGGACGCCTGTCAGCATGGTGATGGAGGCGTGATGATTTCAGTTTATGAGTGTGGACCCTGAACTCTATTGTATACCAAAGTAGCGTCAAAAGTTAGGTCATCTGTTAGTACAGAGAGTCCTGTGAAAGCTTTCTTTAAAGTTAGCTAACATTAATAGCTGAGCAACTAAAACCATGAACATTAAACATGAAATGTGGCAATTGAGACTTCTTGCTATACGGCAGATGTACTGCTAACATTACCATTATCTGTTTACAGTTTGATTTGACTGAGTTCACAGTTTAGTTTGGTTTTGCATCCAAAACCAGCTGAGTCAACTCCTTTTTGTACATAATGGCACAGTGCCCCAATTTGACTTTGTGGCCAACATTTAACAGAATAAAGGCTGTTTTATGCTCCCACCAAAGGGAGGGAGCCTGTAACAATGTTGGTCTGTCTGTTAGCAAGCTAGCATCCAGTTTTCAAGATATCATGTTGAAAATTTTCCGTGATGGTGGACACCAATAACAGCTCAAGCTGATTTAATTTTGGTGAAATTCAAAGTCAAGTTCACATCAAATCTGAAAATCAGTAAAAACTTTATATTACCCACCATTTTTATGGATCGTCTTCAAACTTCACAACAATATACTAGGCCTTGAGGGACATGAGTACCTTGGTTGGCTAAGCATTTGAACTTGACCATCATTGTTAAAGTTCACCGTGAGTACAATGATGCCATAATAGGCTGACGTCATCATACTGTAATAAAAATATCATGAAACGATGCTCTCTGCATCGATGCGTTCTTGTTTAAGAAAACAGGTGAATTTTCTCAGATCAGACAAAGATGATAATAACATGTGTAGAACGTCTCAAATCGTGAGCTCAGAAGCAAAGAATCAAACCTTCTCACATCAGCTGCACATTTTAAACTCGCATGAACTTGTGAACCACTTTTAACCTGGTACATGGAGCGCTGCGAGATGTTCTGGATATTGCTGAATGCAGTTAAAGGCTTCTTTGACAAACAGCTGGAACAGAGAGGCATCAGGGAACACCAGAGGGATGTGACACTGATAGTAAATCCATTCTCGTTTCCTCTTATCTGTCATGCTTTTCTCATCTGCTTGGCTGTTTTCCGGCTGACTCAAGGCATTTTTCGTCTCAGGCCACTCTCCTTTTCTGTCTGATTCATGTTTGGATCACTGAAGAGTCCGCAGTGAATGGTGTTGTTAGCAGTAACTGTTCCTGATCTTTCTCATGTCTTTCATTGTTTTTTGTGTGCCTGTGTTTTTTTTTTTTGCTCGTCTCTCATTTCCAGCTCACAGTGCTGATCGGAGGCATTTACTGAGGTTGAGGTCACTGGGACACAGGGACATCCGTGCCCCCCCCCATAAATTGTGCCAAAGGTTTTGAAACAGTGAAAGTGCATTACTATTGCAGCTAGTGGGGCTATCAATCAAAATGTGTCACAAGATCAACTTTTTTTTTTTTTTACCTATTGTTGGCCCCTCAAGAAATGCTTGTGCTCAGCTAATTTAGTTTAAACAATCTGTTTTGTAGCATCCCATTTTAATGTTATTAAGAACCTATTTAAATTTAAAAACATATTAAAAATAAACCAAATCTTGTAAAAGACTGTAAATTGATTCACTCCACTGACTCCCCCTGTTTCCTAACATGGACATTTTCAACCTTAATTCATTTTTTAATTAGTAAACATGAACATGGACCCAAGTCAGTACATATGAAACAGAACAGATGAAAGACTTCATTGTTACAAACACAAAGGTTGGACATTCATGCCCAAAAACATGAATCAGTCGATTAGAGGCTGAATATTTCTTGAACTCCCCAATAAAAGTGTAAATGTGATGCATTAAGACACATAAACAAATTTGGAGTAAATAATATATAAATCTATGCATGCAATGAAAACAGAATAACTCATAAAACCAGAAATCATATAACTATTGAACTCATTCAACTTCATTAGTGCCTAAATTTAAATTTCATTTAATATTTACTGTCCCTAATCATGGAGTTTTGAGTTTCCCGTTAATAAAATCTCTGACATTTAATTGTTAAAAGTTTACATTTTTTACACTAAGATGGAGTTTTCACCCTGCTTTCTTTCGAATGACCAACAGGCTGTAGACAAAGACTGTTGCGTTCATCTTTTATATACAGTCTATGGTTTTTACCAGGATACCAGATGAAACAGCAAAATAGTGCAACTTGTAAACATGAGGGAAACTTAAAAAGCTTCTGACTCGTGGTTAGATTCTTTTAGCCGTTTGGAACATCTGTCAGAATAAAGTCTGCCGCTGGAAAGTCAGTGAGCAAGGCAGTAAACTGTGGTAAAGCACTCGCTTCCTGCTATTGTTCTGTCTGACCCTTGACCCTGTCTCCAGTGACAGTCACCTTGCTGTGTCTGTTTATCGAGCCTGGCTGGATTAAAACAGGAAAGAAACACCGCTTTTGCATTTGTTCACGGTTGTCATTCGAAGCAGACGGGGAATTGTGTCAGCTCACGAGGAAATCCGTCCAAATCACACCGCTGCACTGGAACGAGCAGGAGGGGAAATCTGCTTGAAGCTCTGGGCTGGGAGAGGAGACGAATTCTCACAATCTCACTGCTGCTCTTCTGAGACACACCTCGCAGGATGAATATCATTAATCACCATCTATTACAAATATTTAGTATCTCATTAATTTTTTTCTTTCCAGTTTAAGAGTCATAGAAGAGGATTTGCTCCAGGATATGCTTTCTTATTAATAATTTGTCTGTCACAGGTGGTCAGCCAATGAGCAGAGAGTTTACAGAGTCAGATCCACTCCTTGCTTGTCACATCTGATTGGTAAATAGAAAGATGGCAATGGTGAACACGCTCAGACTGAGGCATTATTAAGTGTCTGTGGAAGAGGTATTGATTCATGAAGCTTAAACACACCTGTCTTCACTCCAGTAAATAAACACACACTCACCACACAGAGAGTGCAGAGGAGAGAGCACAGGTCAGGTTGACCCAGAGTGTGAGTCACAGGCTGGCATGGCTGAAGATACAGAAAATAAGTAAAAATGCAGTTACTCTGCTGGTTAGTGCTGCATGGTCTGAGATGCAACATCAGGGTTTGTCCTGGGTCAAAACAGGCTTTTAGGAGCGACTACACAAGATGAGCCTGTGTTACCTGGAGTAACACAAGTCAGTGAATTTCCTTTTGCTGTGCTTGTCTGAAATCTGTTTTTTTAAATATGGTTTTATACATATTGCCACTAATGTTGTTTTTATTTCATTGTTAATGATTTGAATCTTAATTTCAGTTTAGTTTTAGTTATTTTACAGCGTGAATTAGATTTTTTAAATTTGTGTTTTTTTTAAATGTTTTTTAGGTTCTATTGAGTTTTTTTTTTTTAAGGTTCATTGAAAGTTTTAGTTTTTGTGTTTTTAACATGTGTGTTTGTGGTATTTTTAGGGACAAGATTAAAGAAGTTTTGAGCAGACGTTACTACACTTCCTGTTATATATCCAAGTGAACAAATGAGCCAAAGTTTTATAAGCATTGCTGTGTTGATAAATCTGACCTCACTGACTGAAACTGAATACATTTCCTGCTTATTTTTATTATTTCCTTAGTTATTTGTCTAAGCTGATAGTATCATTTCAGTTACTTTATAGAGTACTTTGTATGTTTATAAACAAGTTATTTTTAACACCTACTTTTAGTTTGTAGTTTCGTTTTAGTTAATGATAATAATAACCTTGGATAAGAGTATATTAGGATTTCACTATTTCAGTTTCAGTAACCGGAGATCAGACCACCAAGGCCTCACTGCAACCTACAACCCCTCCTGTGGGTGGAGGGTCCACAGACCTGGCTCCTAGGTGGGACCCCTGTCAGTGCAAAGTTATCTCTGCCATTAGGGTCTTATGAATCACACTTGGTCTCCCATATGGAAAAGAAATAGTAAAAACTTACAAAAGACTTGCATAAGATGTGGCCTACTTCATATAGTGAATCATGTAAGGCTTATATGAAAGTGGCCACTTTCTCATTACTTTCATATATTGTTTTAGTAAGTACTTTCATATATTGTTTTAGTAAGTATCCAAAACATACAAGTTTCATTATATAATTTTCAAGGGATCTTATATCTGTTTTCACTCTTGTATGCTTTTCATACAAGTTTCACACAAGACAGATACAAACTTTATAAGATTTATATATATCTCTTCCACATGGTGTGGCTCGTCACTAAGAGCCATTTTGCCTTGGGAAAGGCAAATCCTCCGTAAAAACATACCCCCAGAGGATCTCTAGGGCACACAGTGGCAATTCACTTCCTCCAGCTCTTCCTGGGGAGAGGGGGTGACCAGGGAGAGGGATGTCTGGGTATGTCTGTGCAGACAGAAAATGGAAAAATGGAAAACGTCACTGCATACTGTCCAGCTTTTTGATATCTTTAACTAAAGTAAAGTTCTGTTTTGATGTTTATCTCATGGCTGTTTGTGAATCTGTGGTCTGAAGTCATCACAGTTGATTTCCATGGGTGTGTTTGTGTGCGACTATATTGCTCATTCTTTTGTGAATAAAACAAGTGCCTCTGCTGTTACTGGGGGAGTGGTAGGAGGTGATGACCTTCATACTGGGAGGTTCCTATTCTACCACTTTGTGTGCTTTTTCCTCTTTCTTTCTCTTCCTAGATTAGGGAGGAAAGACGTGACACAAGTAGTTGCTGCAGCCTCTCTGCCTCGCTGCACGCTGAGCTCAGAGTTCATTCGTTTGCTGTTGTTTGTTGGTCATTTCCCACATAACAGCGTCCCAAGTGAGCCTGCTGTTAATTGTTGGTTGGATCAACCCTGTGTATTTTTTTGGATTTTTTTTTTCACTAAGTGCTTACATTTTTCCAGCGTTTCCACGTCTTTAAGCAGCAGGTTACTTCAGCTTTCCCAATCATTATCTGAGGAATACTTGGCTATTGTGTTCTAATCGTTTTGTTTTTCCTGCACAGAGGATGTTGCTATCTGTATTTTTTCCAGTAGTTTGTAGTTCAGGTTTTATTTGAAGTTCAGCGCTGACACGGGAGCGAGGAAACGAGTTTAGTTACAACTCTCTGGACATATTCTTTATATTATTTTTAACTGATTTTTGTTTTGCTTACTGAGGAGGATTAGTAGGTTTGTTTTTGTATCTGGATGTGAGACTTTGAGCCATGCTGCTGCTGCTGCTGCTGCCACTGCTCTGCTTGCTACCTTCAGTGAAACAACAGGTAACACAACTCCAACTACACCACCACGCTGAGGTCATGTACCACCTACTGTCTTTGAATCATGGATGCAAATGTCAAAAATGTAACTGTATGGTTAACACCTCCCTCCATTACCCCTTTTTAAGATGTTTTTTTAAATTTATTTTAAAAACCTTTAATGAATCAGCACCACTGCACATATCTGAGCTTCTGACTCCATACACTCTCTCAAGGCCACTGAGGTCAGCTGAAAACCAGTGGAGATCGACTTTTTTAGCTATTCGCCCCCAAACTGTGGGGTGATCTCCCTCCCCGTGTTAGGATGGCCCCTCATTACCTGTTTTAAAATCACATTTTAAAACAGATTTTTATTCCCTGGCTTTGAATTTAGAATGAGAGTGGTGTGTCCTTACCTTCTTGTTTATTTTTATTTTTTTGATTTGTTGTGGCGTGTTTTGGCGCTTTGTACAGCACTCTTGTTTTTAAAGAGTGCTCTGTGAATAAAATTAGGTTGGATTGAATAAGTCTGAAGAAGCTTGAGCAAAATTTATGATGGAAACAATGAATAATTCTGAATCTGAAAATTGCAGAACACAGAAAAATGAACATTATGGATCACTGTAACATGCTTTTCTTTAAGTAGATGAGCTTAACAGTGAAATGTTTCCATGATGTAAATACTATGATTACATGCTTACTGCACTATTTGATCACAAATAAAACTCAATATAACTGTTATGAAATTTAGTATCAGTTAGCATTCAATGCGTAATTGTTTTTTAATGACAATAAAGCAGTATATTAGTGTATTTATGCAGGCATGAGTAACTATACTTTCTCTAATTCAGTATCACCACTGATGAACTTAACCTGCGACTGTCAGAGGTGTTAAAGCTTTGTTGTTGTGATATGAAGGTGAATTAAAAAAACAACCCAAACAGCTTAGCTGTAAACATAAACGACAAACATTAAACAGCTCAGTGTGACAAACTACGCATGGCACTGTGTATACAGTAAAGTCAATCATTTGCTACTGCAAACCTGGAACTTCCACATCATAGACATCTCTGCATGATACAAATGAGTAAAGCTGCAAATGAGACCCAGAGTTTTTTTTAAACAGAGTTGCATCAGCTTAACAGGGCTAAACAATTTCAGAAACTCAAAATATTTAACCTTGAAGTTACAAAGTGAGGCCATTTGTCAGGTTGTGCTCTCCTACAACTTTTCTCAGATTTTTATAAGCACATGTTTTCTTAATATCACAGCCTTTGATTTTGTGGTAATTTTCCTTTAATAATCTCTACTTTGTAATGTTTTTGCTGAAAGATCTGGAGCAGCGAGTCGGGTTGATTCTTTATTGCATAAAAGTGATTGCAAACAATAATTAATCACATTAAAAACAGTTTGGTATATCTGTCTGTACATAGAAACGGCTTTCCAACACAAACAAAGCTGTTAAAAAGGTATTATATATTTAGGTCCTAAACCAGCTTAGTAAGAAGTAATAGCGCTTTGGAAAGTTGGAAAGTTCATTATAATTAGATATTCCAAATATTAAAGGCATTGTATTTTCAAGTAGTTCATGAACTCAGACAAGATATCCTGAGTTTAAAGCTGCATGAGGCATAAATCTACAGACAAACAAACAAATAAAAACTGCAATTTGAACACGGAAAACTGCCCTCCAGCTCTCATCACTCTGTTTTAAGCCCTTAACAGCAGACAAGCATCTGCACCTGCTTCAGAAGCCAGGCTCTTTTCTGGCCTCATACAGGACTTAAACCCCATTCTGTTAAGTGTAGCAGACGGCAGCTGCTTCATCCCTTGCAACGCCATTTTTTACTTCTGGTCTGGTCTGAAAAGCCTGTGATTGGTCAAAGTCTTCCATCACAAAACTAAATGTAAACAAAGAACAAAAAGCAGATACGAGGAAAACTGTGTTTTCTTACTACACACTGCAGAGTGTCTCTGCAGAAAGACCTGAGGAACATGCTGAAGGAGACGTATTTCTCTTGTCCTGGACATTTATGTTTTGTGCAAAATGTATCACTGCCACCGTGAAAAATACGTTTGATGTTAGTGGAACTTCATGCTTCTATTGCCACTGCTTCTTGCCACCACCAGACCACCTGAAAAGTGATAATGTAAATGATCACTGAATTCTATATAACTACCCCTATCTCATGTTGCCCAGCCAACATTATCAAATTTATTACTAAACCTCTAAAACCTCTAAACCTTTAAAATAAATATGTTGGGCAAGTGTAATTTAAACTGAGTCACTAGTTTTGCATTCATGCCAATAATGTTGTTGGATAAAACATCAGAAGGATTTTTACAGTTACTACAGTTCATTATGAGATTGTAAATAATACTGTGGCACTGTGTGCAGTTGTTGAAATATTTCATTTACACTTACACTTTTACATTTTTAAGATCCATTCCCAAACAGTCTCTCAGTTGTTTGTTTATAGAACGGATCCATTGAGCAATATCTGGCCAGTATTGAAGCAACAAAGGATGCATTGGTCTGACTTTTGGTTCCTCCTATGGGTTAAACACCCAAAAAAATGTCTCTGTGTTAAAGAGCCACATCCTGCAGACTCCATAACATTTAGTCCACTGTCTGTAAGTAAGAAAACTCTGCTGACGTTGCTGTATCATCACCAGGGCTGTTTTAATAACGTTCACAGTGCAGGCCATCAAACAGCAGACTGAATTTGTTGTGTGAAAATGATGAAGTGCTCCAGAACTTAACCAAACAGCAATTATGAGTTGGAGTCATACACAGTTTCAGTAATCGGAGGCAGAATGTACTTTCAAGTTTTTACTTCACTTAAATAAGTTAAAACATCCATTCACCACTACACGGTCTCCGCTTTTATCATGAATGTGCTGCAGAACAGGTCAGCTTCTGATCAGTAGGTTGGTGATTCAATTCCTGGTTGCTACAGTCTACTAAGGCATCCAAAATACTGAGATGCTTGTGCGTTCATTGCGTTGTTGGTCCCTCTGTGTTAGCCCTGTGTCAGATTGGTGACGGTAGCTGGGTTAGGTTCCAGCCCCCCCGTGACCCTGACATGGATAAGCAGAGATGGATGTATCAGTATAGAGAATAATCCCAGCTGTAGAGTTTGAGAGCCTTTGTCTAAATAAGTTTAAAAAAATTGGCAACCTTCTGCAACTTTAAAACATAGTTTTCTAAAAGAACTGCTGTTAATGTGAAAACTCTTATATATGTATGTAAGGGTTTGAGGTTATTGTAATTTGCTGGTATTTATTCCTTATTCTTTTTCTTTGCAGTTGTCATTGTCAGTTATTTCAGTAAAAACAAGATTAAATGATACCAGCTCTCTATAATTTAATCAAACACACATCAAGTCTTAAAATGCATTTAAAGAATGCAGTTTGGTTTGCACTTAAAAACGGGTTCTGTAATTACTACTGTTGTATTATTACTACTGTAATGATACAACTACTCTTACCATCGATCTTACCAACAGCTGTGCCACACCTGTTATTTTCTTTATGCTGCTTGATACTGATACCTGTAGTAGTGATTGTTAGTTATAAATATCATTTGTGGGAATATCAGAAGATGTCTTATCACAAATTGTTGTCATTAAAAACAGAGATGTATTAGAATGCAATCTGCAGGGGTCTGTCCATATTAACAGTGATGTTGTGGAATGTGGACAGAGAGTGGTATAAGACTGTAAACAGCTCCTCTCCTTCCTCAGACTCCTCCTCCTGGTCGATGTGATATCCTGCAGAGGTTGGAGGTACAAACAGACTGCACTTCCTGTGCTGCTGCCATCACTGCGAGCTGCCCCCGCGGCTTCAGCAGCACTGGCATCACCAACTGCAGGTACAGGTCAAGCTTCATACCCACAGTTAACATGAAGTGAAGACTGGAACAGCTTACCTATAGCAATGCCTTTATGTGTGTTATGTTGTACACCTGTATGTCTTTTGCATATTGTATATTGTTTCATGTGACCCTCCTCTAGGATCACTGTTGTAAATGAACAGTTCTGCCAAAATCTGACATGTTTACATCATTTTTATGCCAGTGTACCTTAACATGCACCTTCCCTGTTAAATAAATAATGACAGCAACATAATTCCACCTTTATTAATCATGCAAAGCTTAGATTCAAGGATAACTCATGAATGCTAACTGTGAGATTTGCAGTAGTAATTAGTAGCGCTGGCAGCAGTGGTATGATTAAGGCAGTTTGTTTACCTCGAGTCTCGCTGTGCTGCAGTTATGTGGTGAACATCGGCAGCAGGGAGCTGCAGCTGGAGGGATGTCAGCACATCTGTGTGAAGAACGTCATGCAGCCAAAGTGCTGCCAACAGCACTGGGGACCGCTGTGTCTCTGTAAGACACACACACACACACACACACACACACACACACACACACACACACACACACACACACACACACATAAAGTACATATGATGAACTATCATTTGTGCCATAATTTTGATCACATTTAAACCCAGACTTCCTGCTTTAGTCTGCAGCAGTGTTTAATGGATCGTACAACTTCTCCACAAAATGGATCAAATGAGCACCACCTACCTCAGTCAGAGACATTATCAGATGTGTAGGTGATCAAGATCTACAAATAATATAAAAACGAAAAGATCAGAAAGCAAAAAATGTGCTGCAAATAAGAAAAAAGATGTTTTGAGTTTGTATGGCTGCTGCCTTGGCGAGGTTTCCTTGTAAAATAGATTTGATCTTTGTGGGACTTCCTGATTCAATAAAAGTAATAATAATAAAATTAAAGAGAGTAATGCAGAAAATTATTACTCTTATGAATTCATAACTTTGCACAAGTCTAAAAAGGAAACATCTAAACATTAAAAGTTATCCTGTGAACTGAACTCTGATACTGGTGAAGAACAGGTAGAAATAACTTTAATAACCAGCTTTAAATGATGCATTTAAACATAAATGATTTCAAAATACTGATTCATTTTCTAATCTGCGTTCTGATTTATAGAGTCCAACAAAGACTGAGCAGCTGACTGATTGGTCGTTTGACTGATTGTTACTCTCCACCAATCACATAACGCTATGGTCCCAGTGTGTAATTTATCTGTTACAGGTAGAAAAAGATAAAGTCGTGAATGTGTTTTTCTGGAAAATTGAGTTGTATGTAAGCTGTACTGTGTTTGTACGAGAAGAACTAAGTGATAACGTCTGTTGTTTAGGACAATGTTTAACGGTCATCAACATAAAGGCACTTTTAGCTAGTTTTGAGATCTTCTGAGCAAAGCTAGCGTTAGTCCAGCTAATTAATGTGGGTTTGCCGTTTACTGCTCATATTTTACTGTGAAGCTGTTACCAGTGCACCATTAATGACAACGTATGTATCGCATTTCATTGTCTAGTAAGTAAACGTCATATATATTTATACTTGACAAAAATCTTAATCATCATAGAAGACAATGCCACAGATTATTTCGATTGTTATATTTGGCTCCCAAAAAATCAGCATGACTCTGTTGACACTGTTTCATATGCTTATATTTTGGTTTAAAGGATAAACTTATAGTTTTCCTCGTTATCTACATTAATTTAGACTGCTCTTAACACTCCATTCCCGGAAATCTTTATTGATCGTTGGCTCTGTGTGATGTCAGGAAGAGCAGCTATAACTAATATAGTCAAGCCAGGTATGCACAGTGTTGCCACCTCCTCAGTATTGAAAAGTGATATTGGTTGTCCTAAAAGTCGCTAGAAGTCGCTAAATGACGTCATCTCCTAATTTGCAGAGACATAAAGTGAGGAAAAAACGTCCTAAATGCATTTAGAGTTTATTTGGAACTACAAATTAAATTTCTTTTTAGCAATTATTGTTTTTTTTTAATGTCACAATTCCAACCCTGCTCCTTTACCGGCAAAAGTGACCGGCAAATGTGTCGTCATAAATAAGTCTCCAATAACACCAGAAAAAGTTGCCAGATTTCTCGCTAGTCGCTTTTTAGAAAAAAAAGTCACTAAGAGGGTCTGAAAACTCGCTAAATATAGCGACAAAGTCGCTAAGTTGGCAACACTGGGTATGCACAGTTCTGTTTGTGAGCACAGAAGCTCCACCCACCTGTCAGTAAAAACATCTGTTTACGAAGAATTAAGTTTAACGGAGGAGGAGCTAAAACAGCTTGTGCATTAAGACCAATAGCTGTGAGTCATGCAAATATGCTCCTGAGCCTGTAGGTGCACTTTATGGAAGGACTAGGGCTGCACATGCACCCAATTTTGTTAACACCATGGACGGATAACTGATGTTATCCCACCATAACCTGAGAGTGCTCCAAAGAGCTTCTTGTAATGTCAGCCGTGTTTGGCTTTCACAGTCTTTAAGTGCCCCCTTGAATGTTCATTGGGTTTGAGGTCAGGCGACTGTGGGGTGAAGGCCACGGCTGTCAGCAGTCCTTGGATTTCTTTGTCCTGGGAAAGCTTTGAGGTGGTTTTGTGCTCATTATCCTGCTCCAGTAAAAAACAAAAAAACAAAACCCAACAACAAACAAACAAACCCCCAGAAAGTTTCAACCAGAGAGTGGACTGTGTCGCTGAAGGAACATGTCTCTGTTGCTTCTCTTTGGGTCAGTTGATTTGCTGGAGGTCATCTGCATATGTACAAGTAATCACTGTGAGTTAAACACTCAGGCTTCAGATACCTTATGGTCATCTCATGAACATATCAGTCCCACCCACTCACCTGCTGTGTTTATAAGGAAAACCCAATCCTAAGAAGGATTTTTGTAAATGGGGAGGAGCTAAGACATCACGTTTTAGACAGAGAATGAATCCATTAATAAAAAGATAACATATGCTTTATTCACCCCAAGAGTTGGGAAATGATGCTGTCACAGCAGCCATATCATCATATCACTTACATAACTTAACTAACTTACATAAACACATCACCTGTTTGCTTGTTTATTGCAAATAATCAAAGTGCAGAAAGGTAAAAAACTTCAAAAAATACAAAAATAAATAGCCTAATAAATAAACATAAATTTGGACCTGGAAACAAGTGGATTTAGGATTACTCAGTGGAAGGGTAGAAGATGAAAATTCATACATTTATTATTTTTTATAGACATAATTAAAACATCCAGCAGAAATAAAAAAGGCCTTTCTCTTCTGCTCTATTAACTATCAGGTTTTTCTAAGCCTACTTCAACTGGTGATCAGATGATCAACAGAGATGAAGCATTTCCATCACGTCACCTGCTTGCTTGTTTAAATGTGGTTATGTCCTGTTGGCATTCCTAATTGAATAATAAGTTTGATTGTAGTAACACTTGGTGTGTAAGTTCACACAAGTAAGTACAACTCATCCACTTCTTGCACCGCCTTAATTCCCTCTTTGCTGAGGATAACAGTGTGTCTTCTGACATTTTCCATCTTTCACAGAGCTACTTAGTTATAAAGTTCTGCTGGAAACTTTTAAATATTCAGATACATTTTCAACTCATGAAAGCAGGACATTAGCTGGTGATGCATGGCTGTGTTATGTTTTTTTTTTTTTTATCTCTGTGTAATTTGTGATTCAACACATGCCTGAAACCCACACTGCACATAGTGCACAGCTTAGTCACAGATTACCTCTAAGATAGACATCATCAGGTTATCTTACACAGTTTGCCAAATGTTTATATGAATTCAAACTGGATAAATGTTCAATGCACAAATTGAATAAACAGCTCTGATTTTTTCTAATCACACATTCTCACTTGTTGTGTGTCTGCAGCCTGCCCCAGCTGGTCTGGGAAGACCTGCAACAATAATGGGGTCTGTCAGGATGGAGACCTGGGCAACGGAACCTGCATCTGTAATGTTGGTATCCCTTCTCTCTTTTTTATGTATTTATAGAGATGCTATTCATTATTAACTTTTATGTGAAAACCTGTCCTGGTTTCTTCTTTCTTTTCTTTTCTTTCCTGGTTTCAAGGAAGAAAAAAGTAGTCATTATCTGTGTTTCCATCCCCAAAGTACCAAAAACTATTTCAGACCAAAGAACCATTGTCAGTGAGATAAACACTTGTTTCCACTGTAGTGAAACATCAGGCTACTGTTGTTTTTGCATGCATAACTTTATAAAAAATGTAGCAATCAAGTTACATCTGAGCATTGCATATTGGCTGGTTCACATGCACTGTGACTGGGTGATTAATCCAGTTGGAATTTAAATTTAATTTCAGTTACAACTGATACATATTACCTTGACTGACTGAAGTCAAGGTAATATGTATCACTGGAAGCCAAAATTGCATCGAATCACAGGAACAATTTTGCAGCAAAATAATTTCAGGACTACTTTCAAAGGGGGAGAGGAGAGTTCTGTGAATTCTGTGAATTTAAACGGTAAGGCAGGCAGGTAGACAATCCGAATTTAAATCAAAGTCACAGGGAGAATGCAGCTGAGCTGCAGGAAAGACATCACATAGAGAGGTTCCTGGAAAAGGAGACAAGAGGAAGAGGGAGAGAGAGAAGAGGCTGTGCTAGAAGCATGGAATCATGCCAATGCTCACTTTTTTGCATTCATTTTGGTACGAAGTTCTTGCTTTTTACTTTTTATGAATCCACTCCTCAGATTGTTTAAACTCGGAGAAGACATGCATGTAGACTTCAATTTTAAAACTCAACATCCTAGCAGTGTCATGGTTCGCTGTGTGGCAGGCGGGAGGAGGACCCAAACGCAAAACTCATAGACACGGGGATGAACTCAAAATCACAGCTTTAATGCTGGAATGGCAGAACATAGGAAATACAAAACTAAACTGGGAAAAGTAAACTAACATACGCAGAGAGACACAGGGAGATCCACACAGCATGAGGGAGAACGCGACGCCGAACAGAGGGAGACGCAGACAGAAATACACAGAGGGTTAACGAGGAAAGTGGGAACACACGGGGAACACAGCTGACACAGATAACCATAACGAGACACTGACGGGAGACGGGCAGAGTCAAACAGGAAGTACAGAGGTTCAGACAGGAGGAGAGAGAGCACGGGGAAAAACACAGACATAACGGGCTGGGGAAACATGGAACAACCACAAAGGGAGACGAGGGCTCATAAATACAGAGAGGGCACACAGGGGGGAGAGAGAGCACGGGGAGAACTTAGACATAACGGGCAGGGGAAACATGGAATAAAACATAAGGAGAGACGAAGGCTCACAGATACACAGAGGGGCACACAGGGGGTGAGAGTCACAAAGGGAAAGCACTCAGGGAACACCACAACAGGGCAACTCAGGAAACAGAGCCTAAACAGGGAACTGAAATACAAAGATACATAAAACTAAGAATACTGGGCCAACATGGCCCAGGACCATGACAAGCAGAAGCAAGATGAAGAGCAGAAGAACAAATTCAAAAGACATGAAGAAAAATGAAAGTCTGAAATACATCAAAGTTGCAGTGCATTCGGCCGGTTAAGTCCAGAGAAATTTCATATCAGAGAAAGAGAGACAGAGAGATACATATGAAGAGAGGGAGAGAAAACAACATGACTGATTAATCAGAGAAGTGTTGCCTTCTGATTATTGTACAGTTACTTTCTAATAAAGATCTTCGCACCTTTGTAAAGCATTTTCAGCTATAGAGCAGGCTGTGCTGTTTTGTTTGCACCATTTGTCACAAACACCTGCAGCTCAGACGCACTGAAAGCTTAAAGTAAACTCGTTCTCTTAAATAGATTCCCACATGTAACTGTCTGTATAACTAATTTGAACCATCTTTGCAGTTGGTTATCATAGTGGAAATGCAAACAGTAACATGAAGGAACCTTTTAGCTCCATGACAATGGTTTCATCTTAATGTCCATTTACGTTTCTGATTCAGAGACAGTGGCTTTGGATGGTTATTGTTTGGTCAGCAAAAGGAAATTTGACTGTGTTTAGGTTTATTCTTACAAATATCGCATTTTTTGTGTTACATTGAGGAAGAAATGCTGGGGAAGTCCAGAGATTTCAAGTAATTGGTTGTTCTTGTTTTTTCTTGGTAATATTTCGAAATTAAAAAAAACAAAAAACCTTCTTCCTTCTCAGGATGGTTTCACTGGCTTTGCCTGTCAGGAGTGTAAGAATCCAAATGCTTATGGAGAAAGGTGTGATAAAGGTTGGTACCCTCTTTACTTTCTGAGGCATAGTTTGCCCCAAATCATATTTACATAATTTTCCCCTGTACTGTTATATGTTTTATCTGCCTAGATCGTCTCAGTGTGACCTGTCTGGTATTATGGTAAATGGCCTGTATTTGTATAGCGCTTTACTTAGTCACTATGGACCCCAAAGCGCTTTACACTACATTCAGTCATCCACCCATTCACACACATTCACACACTGGTGATGGCAAGCTACATTGTAGCCACAGCTGCCTTGTCTTGCCCAAGGACACAACGACCGAGATTGTCCGAGCCGGGGCTCGACCGGCAACCGGCTTTCGATTACAAGAAGAACTCTTGAGCCACAATCAATGAGATTGTTGTTTTTTCTTCAATATAATGGAATTAAGTTGCACTCGCCTTGTGTTGGTCAAAATGCATAAAAACATTTAGAAAAACTTATCAGCAACTTTTCATCTGCATCCACCAACTGTGGACTCTGTATACTTCATCACCCATTGGTTCATATCCTGTTCTAAAGCCTCAAGCTGAACATTTATATGTTTTGATGTAGATGTGATAGAGAAGGGGTCACTCTGACACTAAAACAAAGGGATGCAGCATCCTCATGGCAGCAGCTTACCAGTCACAGTGTATGTCAAAAGTATCTCTTGCGTTTATCCTCCTTTATTACTGCAGTGAGGAGCATCCTTTAGAAAATGACAGCCATCTTGAGTTCAACAAGACTTGAAAGTAGGAGGTCCTTTCACATGCAAAGCGGCATGTGCTGCACTGACTGCTAGGCTAACTAAAATTAGCATTGCATCTGCTGCTGTCTGCATGCACTACACTTTTTGCAAATACTCATGTCTTTATGTGTACTTGTTACATCAAGTACGAGTAACAATTTTATAACTGGAAAAAGAAAAGGCCAAAAAAACATACTGAAAAGAGAAAAGGAGATGGTTAACAAAGTCAAAGAAAAACACTTCTGCTGTCAGTAGAACTAACTACTCCCTAGTAGCTCAAAAACAACACTAATCTCAGTCAGCACTCAATGCTGGTCACAACACCTGCTTCAGAGGAAAGCAGTGTCATTGTCATGTTGTATCTAACAGGCCCTAGAGAGCATAAAATCATCATTTTTCTTCACCTGGAAGCTAACATTGTGCCTCAACCAAAAAAGACGCATAGCTAACTGACATCGAAGCCCAGCTGAGGGGGACATATATACATTGTCATCCAATCATGCTGTCTCAAGCAAGTTTCTTGTGCATAGTGACACAGCTGGTGGAAGGAATGTGCATTCAACATGAAAGTGCTCATAATGAGTTTTTAATTTTATTAGATAAACAGGTCAGCTCAGCTCAGTGTTTCTTCACATTAAAAGGAAATAAAGCAGAAAGTCAAACCTTCAAAGACTACTATGAAGCTGTAAGAACATCTGAAATCTGCTTAAAAACTGCCTCTCTGTGTGCAGTGTGTGACTGTAAACATGGAGTGTGTAATAAAGGTCCTGAAGGTGATGGAGAGTGTTTGTGTCAGCCACCATACACTGGGAAGAACTGTGACCAAGGTAAGATCATACCACAAAGAAATATACTGTATTAAATTAGCAGAAACATCACTCATTATTAATGTATATTACTGGGTTTCATTAGATGATACAGTTCATTTATTTTAGTTTCATCATCTCCATAGAATTAGACAAGCTGCGGAGCATGCTGTAGCTGTCTGTTGATAGATAGATATTTATCCCACAAGGGCAATTTTTTGTTACAGCAGCACAATAAAGAGCAACAATAGCACAGACAACAATAAACAACACATAACACAGATAAAATAAAAGTGCCACTGATGCCTGGTAAGGGCTTTATGAGATGGTGTAGGAATTTATATCTAAACAAAATTGATAAAAAAGAAAGCAAACTAAACATTAAAGTGGTATTTGTTAAAAACAGTAAAAGCAAGACTGGCATTGTGTAAGAGAGAAGTGTAAATTGCATTAATAAATAATTTGTACAGTATAAATCTAAGAAAAAAAAGTTTCATTAGCAGATTGAAAATAACTTCTGTAACTGAAACAGATCTGCCTCAACCCAGACTGGTATTTAATATTTACTGCTAAGAGATAAAACAAAGAGATTGTTGCTGTGTTGTGAGCTCAAAGTAATAAACTGCATTAACTAACCCAACTTTATTTTGATCAAAGAATAAGAAAGATTTTAGAAACACAATAACGGATACATTTTCTGCAATTAAAAATACAAGTAGACTGAAAAGGACTTCTCAAATGTGGTTTGATACTCAGGTAATGATGTTTCCCTGCACTACCTGTTTGTTTTGTGTTAAACTGCTGCCTGCAGTGAGCTGCTGCCGTGTTTGTGTTGTTGACAGAGAATCGGAGGTGCAACAATTGCAGCCCGTATTCATACTGTAAAGGAGAGGGAGACGCCGCCGTATGTGAATGTTTGCCTGGATACAGGAAGACGCCACAGAACAAATGCTCAAGTAAAAAATTATAATAATTTATTTTGTGAAAATTTTGCGTTTATGCTGCTGTTGTTACCAGAAGTGAGCGTGTGTATGGCCAAGTGAACATGTTAACTGTCTAAAGCCTTAACCATGAAATTATTGCCAGAAAATTCTCATTTCAACTGGAGTCTTCAATAAACCTTCTGGCAAATTAAAAGAAAAGAAAAAAAAATTAATTTGCATACAAGAGTTTTAATTGGTATATTGTCTTTGCTACGTCCAACCTTTTTATACAAAAAGAGAAAAAAACACACTGGGCTTTGCAAACTGGTGATGTCACACAGCCTATTTTAATCTTACATTGCAATGCACATATACAGTACATTGCTGATAACATGAGTTGTTCAATTAAACTAAAATAAAAATGGACTAAAAATCTCTCCTGTTCCCCTCAAAATCAGCAAATTATTAAATACAATAACTTCAGTGTTTTAAATGGAGCTGTTAAAATTTTCATGGCCCTGTTCCTAGTTGTAGACAACATTTTACAAATCCTCAAAGTAGGGCTTGAAGATGAGCCATGTATCAGCATGTAGGTAAAAAAAAATTAGAATTTCATGTGTTTTAATTTGTTTTGACCGACCACCCATCTCACATGATAGGATCTTGTAAACTTAACCCAAAATGGACTTTCTGCTGTTTTAACCAAAAATCAGATCAAACATCTGGGGTGCCAGTGCTCGTTTCTGCTACTGCCGCAGTCTTACTGTTGAAACTATGATATTTCACAAGACATTGATATTCAAAGTCATTTACAGAAATTAAAACTTCTGAAAATTGAAGTGTGTGCGACTTGAAGTGTGTGCAAAATTGACTGTCAACACGTGCCTATCGCCCATGTTTAAGATGTTAATAGGACTCAAAAATGCTAAAAAATAGACTTAAGACTTAAAAAGCACAAAATGTTGACTCACACATTCACTCATACGAAATTTAATTTCTCATGGAATAATTACATATACTGAAGGTATTGCACAAAAGCCCCAGCTCATTCTGAGGGGTCAGGTGGGGGGAGTGCACTGATTGTTTAAATGGAGTGACCCAGATAACATTATGAATTTAATCTGAAGGTTATTTATTTGTTTTCTGCTCAGGTGTTTGTTCACAGAGGGATTGTGACGTTAATGCCCAGTGCTCCTCTCGGGGGTTAAAGGTCAGCTGCGCATGTAAGCCCGGCTACCTGGGCGATGGCAAAATCTGTATACCTCAGAACCCTTGCTTAGATAACAACGGGGGCTGTCCCTTGAACTCCACAGTTTGTGTCTTCAAAGGAGCCAACAAGGTGAGGAGACCTGCCAAGAGTCAGGAAAAAGCTGTTTGTAACAAAATCCTGACATTTTGTTTAACTCCTCTCTCTCTCTCTCTCTTTCTCTCTCTGGCTCTCAGTCCAGCTGTGCATGTATGTCCGGCATGTCGCCTATAGGTGGCAGCCCTGAGTCTGGCTGTCAGCTCGTCTCCGCCTGCTCGGTGGACACCTGTGACCCCACAGCTCGCTGTCAGACTGAACTGAATGGCGAACCCAGGTCAGACACACAAACTTTTCTCTACCATTATCTACAACTGGGAGGAGGACCAAAAATGTAGAGCCCAGTCTAAAATGTGACCACAGCCAGAAGAATCGGCTCCTTTTGACTTTGTTGTGACTAAAACCAGAACACCAACCAGAAAAAGATCCATTTCACTCCATGATGAAAGTAGAATAACAAAGTTATCCCAACGCATAAGTCCTGTAACACAATTTTAGGCAGAAAAAAAATAACACAGTCTAAATATTTATGTAATACATCTGGGAGATTTGTAGATCATGCCAGATGTAATGACACCACAGTCGATACAAGCTGGTCTGCTACTGTCAGGATCCTAAAGTGGTGTGGCAGAATTTTGGATTTCGGTCCCCAACCTTTTTTTGCACCACAGACCGGTTTAATGTCAGACAATATTTTCACGGACCAGGCTTTAGGGTGTCAAGGATAAATATAACAAAAGAAAATCATACGACCAAGACAAAAACTTTGCTATTTGGTAAATATAATAATAAACGGAAATTCACTATATATTTGTGTAACTTAATTAGCAGTGTCCTCCTGAAATGTGCCAATAACACTGAGAGTAACATCCTCCTCTCTGCCCTTTAATGCTCTCTGGTCGCTATGGTAAGCGTAAATATTTCTTTCAAAATAAGACACACAACTACAACATGGGAAAAGACTCAGGGAAACCGAGTTAACAATAAAAACCCTGAAAACCATAAATTTCACACCGAACCTCGACTCTTGCGGCCCGGTACCAAACGACTCACAGACTAGTCCTGGTCTGTGAGTCGTGGTCTTAGACTCTGGTCTAAGCCACGTTAAGCTTAGACCAGAGATTGAAGCCAGTCAAGACATGCTCAAATCCAACTTTTTCAGTTACCATATAACACTAGTACCTCGGCTTCAGATGTCTGCTACTACTGAGTTAAGATCCCGTAACAGTGTTAAATTAATAAACTGTAATCCTCACTGTGAGGATGAGGCATGGAGCCATTGTTTTATGTTAGAGTTAAACTTTGCTTTCCTGACTTCTCTGCCTTCATGCCATCTTCTTTCTGGCTGGCTGCCCCTAAGAAACACAAAGTTTAAACTAGAGATGGACCGATCCGATATTACGTATCGGTATCGGTCCGATACTGACGTAAATTACTGGATCGGATATCGGAGAGAAATAAAAAATGTAATCCGATCCATTAAATATCAAAAAAGCACCTCACAAAACTTGCGACATGACGTAACTCGGCCCATAACCGTAGCACGTTGGAGCAGTATGCTCACCTGATAGAGCGGCTGTGTGTTTGTGGCCTCGCTACCAAACCGGCATTTCATCTCCGAGGAAGTGATCCCAGAGAGAAGTAAAGCAACTGTGTAAGTTCATCTCTGAACGTTTGTAAAGCATTCCCACGTTAAGCTTAACAACCTATATATGGAGCGACTGCCTCTTCTCTCTCCCTCCCTCTCCTGCTGGTACTTCAGTTGTGAAATTGCTTAATGATCAGCTGATCGGCTTTTCTGTCGCGAGTCCGTCTCTCTTCTTTGTTTTTGGCCTACTTTGCACCAGAAAGAGGAAATTAGCGGGTGAACAACAGCAGCAGGTTTAACCTTGATAAGCTGTTGTTAGAATTTATTTATTTATAGTCTGCAGTTCTGTTGAAGAAAGATGTTGAATCTATTTAATTATTCTTGAAAAATAATTTATTTCTGTGCAATTTTTTTCCAACCTGCATCAAATTAAAGTTGATTACGTCGATTAAGAATCATGAGGTGGGGGGTGGTTCCCTATTTTTTTTTTTGCTGGGAATTTGCAACCCTATTAGTTAGGTTGCTTAATATTTCTGCTAAGTACACTTTAAAATACCAGAATAGGAAGAATGGAGAAGGTTTAAGTTTATTAGATTGATCAGTTTTGCTGAACTATGAAATATTTTGGGTGCAGTGTATTTTTTTACATACAGGTATAACAGAATAGCTTTTGTGTTGTTGTTTATTTAAACTTGAGTATGAACTTATACAAAATGCAGCAAGATATAAAAAAAACAGTTTTATTGATTAAAAAACACATATATCGGATTCATATCGGTATCGGCAGATATCCAAATTTATGATATCGGTATCGGATCGGACATAAAAAAGTGGTATCGTGCCATCTCTAGTTTAAACAACAAGTGCGCTGGGCTTCTGCGCTGAGCCGGAGGTGTGTGCCTGAGATGACCAAATAAATGACCAAAACCCTCTCAGAAAAAAACAACCTGAAACTGAACATTTAGCTGATAAGGATTACTTGTCTACGCACTGACCTCTTTATTTGAAATTGTGGTTATGTTTAATATGAATATTTAACATAAAGACAAAAGAAATACAAATTTACTAGGTCCGTGTTTATATAAAGATAAAGATAAAGCTGTCCGAAACACTGCTTTGAGTCTTGAGTTAAAATCCGTCAAATGGGCAAACATGAAGCATCTCGATCATGTGTGCTGAACTTGATTAGATGTGATTTTAAACTGGAGCGTTACTTTCACTGAGAATGATTCGCTTCCTAAAAGTAACGATGGGAAAACCTGGAAAGATCAGATAGGTCAGGTCACAGTGTCAATTGCGTCGGTTGGCTAAAGTGGCGCTCTCTTCCTGCCCCCTTCTCTCAGATGTGTTTGTGAAGTGGATCAGATCAGTGATGGTCGGAGTTGTTATGGTAACCTGATGGAGCGCGCCATGGAGCTGGACCGGAGCGGCAGCTGGAGAGGAAACTTTACTGGAGCCATTTCCATGTTCGGTAAAACTAACCAGCAAAAATACGCTCTGAGAAATGCCCGCGGTACTTTATTGAACTATGGCGGGGTTTCCTGTTAAAACAAGAGATCATCACCTCAGAGTGTTTCAAGCTAACTGACAGGATATGACTTAAAGTGAGGCGTGGTGGTGATATCAGCTTTTTTTTAAAAATAATAAAAACATGAGTCTGTGTCCCGATTATCCTGCAAGGTAATTTATATGAGACATGCTGTTTTTTGTACGTTCTTTGGTGTTGCTATTCTTTCACCGCACCTTTCCTTTGACCTTTGGGGTGTGTGTGTGTGTGTGTGTTTCAGAGGCAGGCTGTCCACGTCTGCTGAATCATAACGGACCCTTCACAGCTTTCATCCCCCTGCTGAAATCACCTCTGCCTGTGGGTCACCTGCTATTCTGAATTTTATTTTAATGATCTCCTCCAGCACAGGAAGCTCCTGAGGGATGAAGCCATAGATTTGAAAAGCTTAATCCGCAACTTAAACAAATCTCTGGTGCTGCCTTCTTAGATCTGTGCAAAATTAGGAAAAAAAATAGTTCATGCATTTATTACTTCTAAGAAGAGATTAAATTTCTGCCATGTTAGCATCTCTTCATTGACTCAGTGATAAATGCAATATAAATCCTTTTCCTCACACACAGTTACAAATTATCAGGCCCCTTCATATATTAAGGACCTCAGTACCATATTATCCCAGCAGAGCACTTTTCTCTGAGACTGCGGGCTTACTTGTTGTTGAGTTTCCAAAAGTAGAATGGGAGGCAGAGCCTTCATCTATCAGGCTCCCCTTCCGAGACTCACTCAGAGGCTGCTCACAGACTCACATGATCTCAAATTACATCTAGCATACCTAATAATTAGAAACTAACTGATCGATAAATACAAAAACCTGGTCTTCTAAACCAAAATATCTCTGCAGGACTTAAATCAGGAGACAGTATGTAAAAACCACCTGATCCTGGGTCAGTACCTCTACAGGGATCTGACTGGTCGAGACTTCAACCTGTACGGAGGATCCAAGCTGAGGACCAAAGAAAACAAGGTAACGCTGCTTCTCCAGACTCCAGCTGCTGTTCAAGCTAGATAGTAAAGAAAAAATGAAAGGTGTAAGCCTGGTTCTTGCCTTTGGAAATTATTTTTGGTGGAGACATTTGTCAAAGCCACGGAAGCAGCCACTGTTATTCACAAGCATAAGGTCAAAATTTCCTGGAGCTTTTAGTTCAGGTCCAGCGTGCTGTTGTCTGGAAACTCAACAGTCACGACAAGACTTTTTCCTAAAAATCAATCATTGCCTCCCACCTTACACAAACCCACACTGTATCAGAAAATTATTTTTGAAGGTTTGACATCACCTGGTGATGTGACCTTTGAAAGTTTACCCAAAATGCACCCAAATTAAGTTTTTCTGTTTTTTTCTGTTGCTCTCATAATCACATAGACATTAAAGTCCTGCAGATTTTCTGTTGAAACTATTTTATATCCATTAATGAGATTTTTTCTTTAAATTGGGACAAGTGGAGTGATGTTGCAGTGCTCAAATTTCTGTCCGTATAATATAACTAAGCAGGAGTTCAGACTTTGACACACAATTCCAGTGATTTGAAGTAAGTGTGATTTTCACTTCAACTACAAAGTGAAACTATTAAGAATCTCTTTCATGGGTCAAGACAGGAGCCCAGCATATTCTTTATTTAACTGAAGTTTAATGCAGATTTCACACATAAGAGCCCCCGGCTCTCTTCTCTGGGACACAGCAGAACCACCAGACTGCCAATTTCCAGTCTACATTAGTAAGTTAAAGTTGGTTACAAGGATACACCAGAAACAAAAAAGTTCTTTCAGCATGATTTTTATTCTTGCCACAATTAGAAAAAGCAATATGACAAAGAACTGGAACAAAGCAAAGTGCATGCTACAGAAAATCATTTCCCCTTTATTTGCATCCATGTGGTTAATATAACACAAACATTTAAGTGATGCAACTCTTCACTACCTCTATCAGCGGTTTTCATCACACAGACTCAAGATAGTGTGATAGTATCTACAAAACCATCACACACCATTGTGTTTGAAATCAGCACTTCTAACAGTGTTATCATCATCGTCTTCTGTCACCCGCCGCCTCAACAATTCTCTATCGTAACATGCTGGCATAACTCGCTGGTGATGGAGACTGGTTATTGAATGAAATTAGTTTTATTTACCAACTGAGTGCGTCCATTACACTCAGTTATATACAATTCATATATCTTCAAATCACAACCCACACAGTTTATTAGATTTTTTTCATTATTAAACGTCTTGTTAAACCAAACAAAACAGTCTGTTAAGTAACACATCATTAAATCACAGCAGAAATTATTTGACAGAAATTATGTTAGGTGAGATGTATAAGGATATTATCTTCAGAATTATGTGACACGTTCTTTTTTTCCAATAATTCTCTCATTTTGTGTCTCTTAATTATTCAACGTCTGAGTAATGGTGTTAAATAACTATATAAACAGATTATGTGGTTACAAGAACAGCAGACTGGTTACCATGACCCGTTTCCATGAGACTGTTGTGAAGACAACATTAATGGTTCCATAAATTTGATGAACATTTATGAGGCAGAAATAAATATTTGCTGTCCAGAGAGCACTACAGAACCAGAAGTTCTGTCTTCTGTGTTCTAGTACTCATGAAGCAGACAAACACACACTCCCACACACCTCAGACAAATTTAAAAGGTTAATCTGATGAGCATGTCTTTGGGCTGGCTGGGCACAAACAGAAAACCCACACAGGGAAATGAGAACACGACAACTCCACATAGAAAGTTCTCAACCAACCAGCTGGTTCAAACCCAGAAACCTTGCTGTGAAGTGACAGCAAGGTTGTGGATTTAAACACAAACATTTAAAAACATTGTGAATTTAAAAATAAAAGCATTGTGTAACCCTGTAACTCAGGGTTTTCCCTTCACATTTTAAGTTTCTTTCCCAAGGCCAAAGTGACGTCACGAGCATTGTGAAACATTATTTTGAAGACTGTGTTTCATATACTCAAGCATCTTAGACATTCTTGTTCATGAAGTAGCCAGAAAAATACCCCACACGTTTCTGTCACAGGCAGCGGGAGGTGACAGTGTGTAGAGCAGGGGTAGGCAACTCCAGGCCTCGAGTGCCGGTGTCCTGCAGGTTTTAGATCCCACCCTGGGTTAACACACCTGAATCAAATGATTAGTTCATTACCAGGCTTCTGCAGAACTTCAAGACATGCTGAGGAGTCATTTAGCCCTTTAAATCAGCTGTGATGGATCATGGACGCATCTAAAACCTCCAGGACACCGGCACTCGAGGCCTGGATTTGCCTACCCCTGGTGTAGAGTGAATACTGGACCCAAATGCAGATCAAAAAACGGAGCGTAAAAAGGTAACTCGAATAATAAAAAAGCGAGCATGAGTAACATGTACATGAGTACAAAAAACACAGAAAAGCAGCGGTGTCCAAACCCAGGCCTTAAGGGCTGGTGTCCTACAGGTTTTAGATGTGTCCTTGATCCAAGACAGCTGATTTAAATGGCTAAATGACCTCCTCAACATGTTCTCCAGAGGCCTGGTTATGAACTAATCATTTGATTCAGGTGTGCAGACCCAGGATGACATCTAAAACCTGAGGGACACCGGCCCTCGAGGCCTGGAGTTGGCCAAGCCTGCGGTAAAGTGAACAGGAATGAAAACTAAACTAAACTAAAACCTAAACTGGAAGAAACTAAACTACGACAACTGCAACGAAAGACATGAACACGATTCAGGGCAGGAGCATGCAAAAAGCGAGGAAAAAACAGGAACATGGAACGTGAGCATGACCTGAGCTGAATCACGAAATACCTTGGCGTGACATGACATCGTGAAAGTAACACAGACAACCCGACAAAGACTGAATGAAGGCACAGAGGAGGCTAATGAGGGAAGTGGGGAAACAGCTGACAAAAAGGAACATAATGACACCACAGGGGAAGTAAAACAAAACACATTGAACATGGAGACAGCTGACTCTTCAAAATAAAACAGGAAACACTGAAAGACGTAAACATGAGACACAGGGTTGAAGACAAAAGGGGAATCTAATGAACAACGAACTATAACAGGGCAACTTAGGCGAAATAGAAATGAGACCATATTTCTACAAAACAACCATAAATCCTGACCTAAATGTTCCATTGTAGACTATCGAGTAGCTTTTGATTTTATGTATATTGAGGTACAAATAAAACCAATAAATATATGAGAGTACCACCATTGCAGCAGTCTTTTATATTCACCAGCTTGTACACTTGTCTAATATTTGCGCCGTTAATATTAAAGTTGCTCTACGTTCCTAAACAATTAACAAATTTTGTCTCACAGTTTTGTCATATTTCCCAACTTTATGATGATATGCATCACTCTAAGTGTTCTTTTCCACTGTCACAGTGACCTTCACTGGTAAAATCTTCACTGGTTGAGGATTCTCAGTGTAAATGTAAGGAAACAGGGTGTCAGAGAAGCTGTGTGTGAAGGTGTGCATGTGGGCATTAGTGTCGAGATCAGAGAACGACAACTTTCCTCTGTCAAAGTCCAGATGGACTCTGATCCTCCGCACTTCCTTCTTCACTGGTAGATCCTTCTCAGTGTCTGGTGATGAAAATGCTGAGAATTTACCATTAGAGAACAAAATTCTCCACAGTCCTGACTGAAGACGCCCACTGACCTGGGAGTACTCGCTCAACACGCCCAGTTCCCAGTCCTTGTTGTTTCCAACATCAACATCCCACTCATGTGTCCCTGAGTTGAAGCCTTTAGAGCCGAGAACAGAGCAGGAGAACTTGGTTCTCTCCGGGTTTTGGGGAAGTGGTTTCCGCTCTCCTGATTTCACGCTGCTCAGATTATCGAATACAACAAGTTCTGGGTCGGCAGTGTTTGGATCAAGAATCACAGGACTGTAGAAGACCTTCTCTTTCATTTTGTTCCAGACATTGAAGGTCAGGTTGCCCAGGTGTTTGGCCACATCTATGAGCACTCCTGAAGCCAGCTCTGGATCTTGCAGCAGGGGGTGCTGCTGGGCTTTTTTAACTGCAGCCTTGTAGTTTTGCAGGAATGAGATGTCTTCAGCTTTGAGCTCCCTCTCTGTGGCTCTGATTGTGCTAGAAAGAGCTGCTATTTCTCTGCTCAGACTCTCAACCTCCTCCTTCATTATCTTAGTCTTCTGCACCTCATCCTCCTTCAGGTTAGCAATCCTCACCTTCTCTTCATCGTGCAAAAACTGGTGAAGATTCTTAAACTGCTCCTTAATCTCCCTCTCTGTGCTTTGGGCTTGGACTTTGATGTGTTTCACTATTTGATCATAGCTTCCTTTAACATCTTCAAAGACCTGCAGTTTCTCCTTTAAGGGCTTCAGGGATTTCTGGAGCTCCTCTTTGAGATCCTGTGCAGCCTCATCGATGGGTCTGAATCTGTGGTTGCTATGCATTTTTGAGTCTCGACAGATCACACATATTGGCTGCTGGTGGTCCAGACAGAAGATTTTGAGTTTCTCAGAGTGCAGACTGCAGAGTGACTCGGACCCTTCTGAAACTCTTCGGCCTCTGTCGCCTCTGTCGCCTCTGTCGCCTCTCTCCGCTAAAAAGGCCTCGCACAGGTTCTTTAATGCCAAATTACGAGGGGGATCACTCTTTGAGGATCTTCTCTTGCAACACGGACAATCGTATGTTTTCTTCCCCCTCCACCATTTTTGGAGGCAGTCTTTGCAGAAGCTGTGGCTGCATGACAGAACAACAGGGTCTGTGAAGACTTCATGGCAGACAGGACATAAGAAATCCTCTTCTGATCTGAGCGACATTTTGCCTGTGAATGAAGCTGAAAACACAGCAAAAAATAAAAGTGAAGTCAGTCAGTCCGGAAGATTCTCTGACAGTTGCTTTCACTTTCTGTCGCAGCTCTTTCAGATCATAAAGCAGAGCAAACTGCAGCAGTTGACAGGAATTGCAAGTATTCCTATTTTCCAGTTATCCCAGTGTTCACAGTGTTCCCTCACGGAGCTGTCTTCATTAGTTGGAAGTGATATTTTACTGTGTGATTAGAATCCTTACCGTCTGTCTCTGTTTCTCCTTTCAGGAAGACAAAAACAATAAGCTGCATTTCCTGCTTGACTGCATGGCCTCACACAGTGGGCGGAGCTTTCTCAAGACATGTCATGCGTGTCTATAACACTAGTTGTATGTTTGCTCAACAGTATTTCATGTATGGTATCAGAACAGATCGTTAACATGGTGAATAAAATGATAACTAGTCAGGAGTCACAATATAGATTCAGAGACAGTTCTGTCACAGATCACCAGTTCTGCAGCATATAACACGAGCACTTATCTCTGGCAGTCAGATACAGAAGAGCTCAGGGCTCCTGCTTTATCTGCACGTCTGGGCTGTCTGTCCTTGGAAAGTGTGCCAAAGGTTGCAATGCTCTTAAAGGTGCACAAAGTATCCTAAGAGTCAAGTAAAGGTCTCATTCCTTCATTCATTTAATTTATAATGATGCAAGGTTAGAGTCGCTCATTTTTACATCTGTAACTCTGGGAAAAAACACTAAACCTTGAGAATCGATTTCCTCCAATTTACAAAGTGCTTTAACAGTACTCACGCCTGTTTTTTCCCCCATCACAGGCCCCCTAGATCCACAGGTCAAAGCTTTACTGGACTCTTGTTTATGAGTGGGCCGCTATCAGTCTGAAGCAACATACACAATAAATTTGTCAATTTAAAGATTGACAAACTAAGCTACCAGTTTATCTTGTCAATTTTTCTTTATTAAGCATCTTTGTAACTCCAGATAGAAGTGGATAGACGCAGGTGAACAGACTAATTTTCTCAGTGTTTAAGTCTGTTGAGCCAGTGATCTGATAATGGGATCTCATTGGCTTTTAACCTGCAGAGGGTTTCTTTCTGATTACAGCAGTAAAGAGTTGCAGCTGTCAAGTCTAGAACAGTGTTTCTTTCACTCCACCTGTGTTCAGGCTGTACAGCCTCATTTTCACTGCCGTTGCAGTATGAAGCTTTACACACAAAAGACACACCAGATAATTGGGCTAATTCTTACAATAGGTTTCTTTTTTGCACACATTCTCCCAGCTTTGTTTCACAGTGAGCACACATGTATTTTTAGCTGCAAAAACGGTCATGCTGTCCACCACTGTTGTCATGTCCCCCCCCCCCAACAATACTAGTAATTGTGTCATTGTTGCACCAATCTTAAAGGCTTCCTGTAATGTGTACAGGATGTGACTGGTGGAAACAGTTTACCAGAATGTATTTTTAATGCTTTATGCTGGCTACATTTAGCATCCTTTGTGCTACAATGACAGATGAAGCTGTGAAAAAAGTGTTAACTTTTTAAAAATATGGGATGTTGTATGTTTGTTGAGGGATAAATGTGTAGTCCATGTAAACCTGCTTGAACCTTGATTCTTGTTTCATAACATGCACAGGTTCTTTAAAGAAAGTCTTTTTTTTTTTTGGATGTCGTACTCTTGTTTTAGAGGTTCATCTTGCTGGACAACCCCAGAAAACTGTACTCTGTCATCCAGCAAGACCTGCCAGCATCCAATGGGATCATTCACATCATAGACCAGCCCATCACACCCACCGACTCCTCCCCTCGTGATGAACAGGTAAGTAAATACACAAATGATGGAAAACTCCCTGAAAACACCAAAAAAAGAAACAGAAAAAAGCTTAAACAACAGCTGAGTGAAAAACATTAAAACACTGCAGTTATTTTTTTCCTTTACAGTACAGCACAATATGAAACTTAATGTCTTCTTCTTCTTGTGTTAAGTTTGCTGATTTGACAGTTGGAGAGATTCTGACTAAGGACGACAAGTACAACCGCTTCCTGTCTTTGGTTGATGTAAGTATTTGTGTGACTATGCACCCTCACGTTTGTCTCCTTCCTTTATTTGACCGCATGCTGAAATTGTTTTACTACAATAAAGCAAATAACACTTACAATTTAAACATTTTAAACCACTTAAATGTATCATACAAACTGGATTTGCTGGGAGTTTATTCACAATTGTGCCACATTTAATGCCAAATTGTTTTATTTTATGCCTGTTGTGGGGATAAGTTCTAATTTCTTTGGATTTCCGGGTGGAAATATTAACAGAGTGAGCATGTATACACATGGTCTGCAAGTTTTTGATGTGTTTCTTTGAGCTGCCTTTGGTAGGTTTTTTTGGTAGCTTTCGTCACTGAAATGAATCGGCTGCTTCAGTGTTTAAGGCATTCTTCATGAATCACTTCCAAAACTTTCCAGCGACACATTTTTGCTTTTGCAGCCTCAAGCTTTCATAAATTGTCTTTTATCTTTAAAATCATGCTTAAAATAACTACTGCCTTTGTTTGTATTGGCATCATTAATGATACTGTTATATACATTTTTCTAACTATGACATTATAGTTTGATATCATGTCACATTTGACCTCTAACCTCACTTTTACATTTCATAGCTGCCATTGTTTCAATGATATAACAGTGTGTTTTATCTCTAAAGAAAATATTGCCAATAGAGAGAGAGAGAGAGAGAGAGAGCTGTCTAGTAATATAGTAGTTATTTACATATTAATACCTGCATAATGTTTATGTATTTAAAGTAAGCATCTGCCATACTACCCTAAAGTAAATACTAGTGAGCTGCACTCTCAGAGTGCTTTTGTTTCTTTTTTCACTGTGTGAATTTTTTTCTTTTCCTTCCTCTCTGCCCTTAATTCCCTTTTAAGGGTTTTTAATGACATTTGTTTAACTCTGGACTCTGGCAGCCCTGCTGCCCTCTTGTTGTTGGACAGCAGCCTTTGACACGGCTGATACCATGATATCCTGCTATCAAGGCTGAAATCATATGCTGGCCTAAAAGAGTCTGCCCTCCAGTGGTTTTGGTTTATCTTTCTGGAAGGACTTTTTATGACAACATAAATAGCCCCTCTTAATTATAGTGTACCTCAAGGCTCTCTTTTGGGTCCTGCCTTGTTTGCACTGTATATGTTGCCACTGGGGTCTATTTTCTCACGCTACAATCTTTCATTTCACTGTTTTGCTGATGACTTGCAGATCTATCTGCCTTTAAAAGCAGGGTCAGACTGACTTCAGCTATTATTACGCTGTCTTGATGACTCTAAATAGTGGATGTCTTTAAAAAATTTTAATTAAACGAAAACAAAACATACATTGTCATTTTTGGTAACTTCATTAATAATCACACTGAGCCTTCAGACCTGTGGCAGGTCACAGGCTTTGGAATAGTCTTCCTCTTAATATTAGATATGCACAAACATCTCCAAAAGTTGATTCTGTTCACCTGGATGTAGCGTTTTCAGTGGGAGAAACATTTTGTCACTCTTCCAAGTGACTTCTTCAGTCTCAGCTGACTGTAGAAAGACCATCTCTGAATCGAGGAGGGGGCCTAAGGGTACATCTTTCGCCATCTTAAAATGCTGTGATTGCAGCCATTCCACAACTCTCTGTGAATGGTACTCATGGCCATTGATCAGTGGGCTTTGATCAGTGGTTGTTGATCAATGGTCATTAGAATTTGCATAATTATGATGAAGAAACTGACCTCCCAGCCCATTGTTCCTTCAGTGGGCTGGGAGGTCATTATGCAAATGTACTGTTTATAAGATTGGAGAAACCTGCAGTCAGCTGAGACTGAAGAAGTCACTCGGATGAGTGACGAAACGTTTCTCCCACAAAATGCTACGTCCAGATGAACAGAATCAACTTTTAGAGATTTACTTACCTGGATGAATGAGTCTGCATCAAGATCTGCACAAACACTTGAACATTTTAAATCGTTACTGAAGACACAATTTTATGGTCTGGCATTAAACACACTTTGACCTAAACATTTTGGTTTTAACACCCTTAGTTGTTATTGATGTTTGAGTTGTTTTTATGATGTATTTCATCTGCTTATTTGTTTTTTCTATATTTTACTGCATCATTGTTTTTGCATTTTATTTATTTTAGTGGCATTTTACATTGTTAAGCACTTTGTGCAGCATGGACTGTTTGGAGATGTGCTTTATAAATAAAGCTGACCTTGACCTTGACTTTGATTGCTTCCACCTGTTGTAAACTGTATTTCTCATTAGTAGTCAGTTTTCTGTTTATATAGTCCTGTGTTTCATTTACTTGGAGAGGGTCCTTTTGCTTTTGTTTTGGATTATCTCTTTATGTTTTTTTTTGTTCATTTCGGGTTGTTCTTTTTGTTTACATTAGGTCCTCCACACCACAGTTATGACACTTCTTTTCCTCATTCTTTAAAAAAACACCAAGGTCACAGAAAGATTAGTAGTGGAAGTCCTTATGACACTGTTTTTAAGAGGTTTAATTTCATTTAAACCCAATTTACAGTGCAGCCTAATACCACCAGCTTCATTCTTTTTTAACTTCTACTCCAGCAGCTCTGGCTTAACTCATAGCATCACATTTGATGTAAATGTCAACTTCCCTCAAGCTTTCCTCATTTTGTGGAAGATATTTTTAATTTCATGAGGTGTCAGATATCATTGTGTAAGTGAGTGATAGGTCTTTTATTACAGAGCCATGCTGTAACTACCTGCAGAATCTGGTCTGGCATTCCTGCTGAAGTATGCATGACCTCGCTAAAAAGGATTCTGTGAAGTCCCCCGGTTTTTTTTTTTTTTATTGCACTTTGGCGATTCCTTAATTTAAAGGCGCATTTAAGTTAAAAAAAAAAAGATCATTTCATCATTTGACATGTTGTCCGTGCGCTCCTTAAATGTGTGGATTAAATTATTTTCAAATTTGTTACGTTTACACAGCTTCCCCACTTTAAGAAACGCAATTTTAAAATAATACATCAATTTTTTCATGTGTAGCATATCTAACACTGGCTATTGAGCAGTGCACTAGAATTTATATTATGTAATGTATTCTACACAGACTATAAACTGATGAGAATGCAGATCATTTAGTTAGACATTTTCAGCTTCAGACTTTTGGGCTGTATGATGCACATACATGTTCTATAACATAAGCATATTGAACCACTGTAATAAGGTTTTTGTTTCAAATCAGCCCACCTCTTAGTTTGAATCTCCAAGCATCTATTTTTGTATTTCCATAAAATGATGGTAAATGCCTGTAAAAACAACTTGTTTTGTTTGTGTGAAATCAAGGGTTTTCCCCCCAAAACATTTATATAAAAATTTAAATGAAACTTCTCTGACTTGAACTCAGGGAGGCATGGCTTTGCAAGTGTTTAATTCTGTATTCTGTCTGGCACTGAGGCTTAAAGGAAATCTGTGCTAAATCCTCATTTGTTAATCAGATGTGTGTTTTTCTGCAGAACTGTGGGGCGCCGCCACCGTTGCGGGGGCCAGGACCCCTCACTGTGTTCGTCCCCACCAACCAGGCTGTGGACCGAGCCCGAGATGGCAGCATCCTGTACATGCTGAATGATGTAAGACCTCAGGGAGTCACTTCTTATGACACTTTTCATCTCTTTGTGATTAGTGCAGATAACACATGCTGAGTTTTTTTAATTATCAACAAATCAAATAAGAAGACCAAAGACTTTGTGACTCTGTCCCAAACTTAATTCTTACTGATAACATTCATCTTGAAGTAACCCAGATATGTTCAGTTTTGTTATTTTCTAAAGCACATTTGGTTCCTTCCATATTAGAGATTGTGCTTTTAATATATTTTTTTTTCCAGGCCAAATATAAACTTCAGGAACTCCTCAGACACCACGTGTTTTCCCAGGCTGCGGTGAGCTCTTACCCTAACTCCCCAATCCTTCTGTCAGAGTCATTTATTTCACTTTCACTTGTTGCTTTTTCCTTTCTTTTTGCCTTTTATCCATTGGCGAACACAGATGAAAAAAGACTTAGCTCCACACTTTTATTCTTAGCTTTGCATTGCTCACGGTTCAAAATAGTCCTTATTTATCTTGTTCTGGGCCTTGGTGCCACCAAGAAACATGCATTTTTTTATTGGCCACCAGGCAGTGACACTTTCAGGTCACATCAGTAAAAACATGAAGCTAATTTTGCAAATTATTTTTATTATTAGAGTCAGAAAGGAGGATTATCCAGGATAATCTCACTGATTGACAATGTGTCAGTCAAGCCAGTGTGGTGTAATTGACCAGTATTTCTGGAGCAGTAACATTTAAATGTCTGTTAAATTAGTTGCACACATCGTTAGTGACTACGTCCCTCCGTTCATACAGTCTGTTTGTAACAAAGACTCATTTCCTTAAATATATGGAAGCATAGGCCCTCTTAGCTCTCCCCCAGCAGATTGTCCGAGCAGCTGAGAAAACAGGCAGCAATTTTTCACACCAGCTTGTTAATCAACCAAAGACTTAGAGTTTTAATTAATTGTACAACCTAACTGGAAAACTCAAAAACCTGTTTTATTTGATATCATCTATCATCCTGGGCCTTATTAGAGTTTCTGTCTGATTTCTTAGAGTGTTTATCTGACTCAGTTCTCAGCTCAGATAAAATAATTATTGGGGGTGATTTTATCATCCATGTAGATACTAAAAATGACAGCCTCAACATGGCATTTAATCTATTATTAGACTCAAATGGGTTCTTCCAAAACCCACCTACCACTTTCTACACACTCTAGATCTATCACTGAAGCCAGATAACACGCACCAATTAGTTAAACTTTAAATTTCTCAAAGACATAAAGACCTTGATGACCTAAAAATTTCTGCTTCTAAATCAGATAAAAGTGAGGTTATTGTATACAGTGTTACGGCCCTAGCAGGGCCTCCTCCTGAAGGCGCCTGTGTGGGCGTGTCCCACTACCTCTTCTGCCTGAGGTGCCACCTTTTCCTTTTGTGCAGCTGACTCTCGTCAGTAATTAAGGAGATTTAAGCCCAGGGAAAGGTGAGCTCTGGGCGAGAGTGCCATTAGTGTGGTTACAGCTAGTGAGCTGAGTGTTTTGCGGTGTTTGCAGCTGGTGAGCTGCACTCTTTTTGACTTACTTTGTACTTTATTGACTAACGTTTGAGTTTTGTTTGTTTCTTTAAATGGTGATAGCGGCTTGTCCGTCTCTTTTAGTTAGTTTTAATAGAAACTTTAATAAAACTCTTTGATTTAACCATTTTGCCTCTGTCTCCTTTTCCTGACCCGGACACTTTTTGTTACCCCCCATCGCCTGGACCCTTTTAGGGGAACGTAACAACAGTCCAAAAAATTGTAGAAATCCGGTATCTAGCCAGATGCTTACTCTGGATGGCATTATCATTATCTGTGAGGTATCTTGGAGTTGTTTTTGACCAAGATATTTTCCTGAATGCAAACAAATATGTAGGACTACTTTCTCCCTTTTGTGCAATATCTCCAAAATTAGAAACATCCTGTCTCAGAGTGATGCTGAAAAGCTAGCTTATGCCTTTATTGCTTCTAGGCTGGACTACTGTCATTTGTTATTATTGGGATGTCCTAAAAACTCCCTGAAAAGCCTTCAGTTGATTCAAAATGCTGCAGCAAGAGTACTGACGGGGATTAGACAAGAGAGAGCAATTTCTCCTATATTGGCTTCTCTTCATTGGCTTCCTGTTAAATCCAGAATAATTCAAAATCCTGCTCCTCACATACAAGGTCTTAATAATCAGGCCCCATCTTATCTTAATAACCTTGTAGTACCATATCACCCTATTAGAGCACTTCGCTCTCGCTGCTGGGCTTGTGATTCCCAGGGTATTTAAAAATAGAATAGGAGGCAGCTTTCAGGCCCCTCTTCTGTGGGACCAGCTTCCAGTTTGGATTCGGGTAACAGGTGGAAGAAGTGGCTTGGGTGAGGGAACTCTGAATAAGTGGTAGAAAATGGATGGGTGGATGTTCAATATGAGCGTCAACCACTGCAACAGAATAAGAATGAAAGGAAATAGAAAGGAAATAAAGAAAAGTCAGACATGTAACCTTTTAATTTTATCAGATGAGTTATTCAGATATCTTTTTAATCACATTTCTGCTTCTAAAAGTGTAAACTCCTCACATTTATTGACCCATTCCTCAAGCACCGCAAGTTTAGCCACACTACTGATCAGGGCACTAAAAATATAAACGTCATTAGATATTCTTTGTTCACGGTTGAAAAATCACGGTCATGATTTTTTTCTGTCTCTAGCTGACAGTTGATGATCTGAGCACACTCTCTCGGATTCAGACGATGGCAAATCAGATGGTCAAAATCGCTGCATCTGAGGACGTAAGTATAGTTCATTGGTACTTAAAAATGCATGTCACAGTTTAATTCCTACCATATGTAGGACACACATTAGCAGATGACTTAAACACTACCTGTCCTCTACTTCTCTGTCCTGCAGGGCGGGATCGTATTGGGTGAGAAGAGCATCCGTTTGATGAGCACCAACATCGTGGCATCCAATGGAATCATACATATGATTGATGGGCTGCTGTACCCGCCCTCCATCCTTCCCATCATGCCTCACCGCTGTGACATGACACATACTAGCAAGCACACACGCACACACACACACGCACACACACACACAGACACACACACACACACACACACACACACACACACACACACACACACACACACACACACACAGAGTCTGAATCAGTTTAGTTCTGGGGGCGAGGGGTAATTAAAAAGGGTGTCAGTAGATTCTAAAGATGTTAGCACATGTGTTACAGCAACGCTTTCACTATCCATCAGTTTTTCTATATTGGTTCTTTCTTTCACACAGTGTAACTCCTAACCTTTTGCCTTGAGTCTGGTTGACAGTTTGCAGATGTAAATGAATATCAGAACTGAAATAGTTGGGGTCACTACTGCTGCATGTCATTGTTTTTTAAACTGCGATGAAGGAGAAACAACAATGGTCCTGACTTTGAAGAGCATTTTTGCCTGTTTTTTGGAGATGAAGCCATAATTGAAAAGATTCTCTCAATGACATTTTTGTCTGTTTATAATACTTTACATTAAATTTTTAATGGCAGGTCATCTCCTGTAGAAATGGAAATATCATAGAGCTGGGCGATATGACCTCAAACCAAAATCACAATTAACATTTGACCTTAATTTTGGTTAAAGAATAATCATGATTACACACTTGAATAAAGGAAGGCACACACATATACAATGAGGGAAAAAGTTATTCGATCCTCTGCTGAATTTGTAAGTTTGATCAAGTTCAAAGAAATGAACAGTCTCAGTCTGGAGAGAGACAGTATATCAGCCAAAAGACATACAAAATACATAAAATAAAACCTATAAATAGATTTTTGTGTCACTTACTGGAGTAAGTATTTGATCCCCAAACAAAACATGACTTAGTGCTTGGTGGAGAAACCTTTGCAGTAAGACGTTTATTGTAGTTAATCACCAGGTTTGCACACCTCTCAGGAGAGTTTTTTATTATGTTGATTACAGGTTCTAAATGTGGGCTTTTATTCATTTCCTATTAATTTCCCAGCTCTAATCATAGCCTTTCTTTCAGCAGGTTTGCCGTTTTCAGTAGAGCAGGATTAACTCTTTTAGTGCATGTTTATGTGTTTGAATCAATGGATTTAAAAAAACAACAGGCAACAACAAAAAAATCCAATCATGACACGTATTACCACCTCCCTCAAATATTAAAGTTGAATTTTTGTGTGTTTTCAGGGTCCTTGTGTTCACTGCAGTTACCTCTCTGCGACCCAGTGTCCAGAAGGCAGCACCGAGCTGGTAAAATGCATTCTGTTCTCTTCTATTTTATATATTGTTATTACTCTACATCAAAGATAACCCTAGCTTTCAGGGGTCTGAAAAGTAAAGCGGATATCTATCTGCCTTAAACCTGCATTCTTCCTAGTCTCCTGCAGAGGGTGACTCATGCAGGGGTGACTCCTCTTGTTAAAAGAATGAAGTCTGGTTGTATAAAGTCTAAGGTGGTGGTTCTCAGTCTTTTTGTGGTGTGTCTCACGTCCTGTAGTCATTGGTTATTTAATCATCTACAGTGAAAAGTGTCATATTGACACCTCTTGTTCATCATATCTGGCTTGAGGTGTCAAAAACAGTGGCGCTTTACACTACATTCAGTCATTCACCCATTCCCACACAGGCAATGGCAAGCTACTTTGTAGCCACAGCTGCCCTGGGGTGCACTGACAGAGGCGAGGCTGCCGGCGCCAGCGGGCCCTCTGACCACCACCAGTAGGCAAACATGGGGTTAATATCTTGCCCAAGGATATTTGGCATGTAGCCTGTAGATGCTTACATTATTTTACTTCACACAAGGAAACAATTATTTCACAAAAACTACCAGGTTGAAAGTTATTACCCCCCTCCAATGCTAGTAGTCAGTTTTGTATCCGTTTTTGCTCAGTAACAGTCTGCAGTTGCTGGTTTCATTCTTCTTTGGTGAATCGCTCAAGCTCCTCTTGATTTGATGGTCTTCCGGCATAGAGCTTCAGTTACCCCCCACAGATTTCAGTGGATTCAAGTCAAGGCTTTAACCCTTTAAAGCCTATCGTTTTGCGTAACTATGTTTAAATCCCTGTAGAACCGGAACCACGTAAGCTAGCGCAATAATTTTTATTTTTGCATATGAAACCGGAGTTATACTTACATCTTATGCCATCAGCTTGTCCACACATAGCTTTGCAAAAGCTGCATAAAAAGCGCTTGCAGGAACAAAAACATAATATTCCAGAAATATACTTTGCCGATCTGATCAGCTGTTCATAACACTTCCCACATTGAAATCGATGTCAGCGCGAACGATGGCATGTCCGCCATTACCTGCCCGAAACCGAAAGTGACGTCATTTTCGCGGAAAATATAGTTTTTTACTTGTAGCCCTTAGAAGCTGGTGTTTTTATAAGTCATGTTTGACTTTATGCTTTTCTGAATAGTTTCTGTGATGCTTAGAACTCAAATTGCACTGCCTAAAATAGTTTATTTTGCACATGCTGTTTTCTTTGCAAATTTGCATCATAAGATTGTTTTTTGTTTTTTCTGCAGTATATAAAAATTGCTGTATCTCAAAAATAAAACTATGAAGATACTCAAAATAAATCCTATTGTTGTAAACTATTTTTTGCAACTTTTTTGTATTTAAAGTTTTGAGGGATAAACCTCTTAAATTTCTCCAAGTAGAAATATATGTATAAAAAACCAAAAACGATTTTCAATTTTTTGTAGTTTATTGCATTTTTTTCAATTTATGTTGTTACTATGGACTTAATGCATACATATTATTAAAATTTGGGCTATAACAGTTGTATTGATGTATAGCAACTTGAAATGCTCCCTAAAATGGCACTACAGCATGTAAAAATATAAAGTAAGCTCTAGCGGCCTTGGTTCTATGGTAGGTCTTAAAGGGTTAATGCTTGTCAATAACATTCACTGTGGTCATCTGGAGGTAAGCGACGATCCAGACCCAATTTTGCTCGTGACTGCTTGAGATTTCACATATCCTTCTTTCTTCATGGTTTCTTCCACCTTGACAAGATTCCCAGTTCAAGACACTCTGAAGTGTCCCCCCAGCATAACACTCCCACCACTGTGTTTCACTGTGGGGATGGTGTTCTTTGTTTTGTACGCCTGTTCCTTCTTTCTCCAAACATAAGCAGCATCTCTGTGGCCAAAGAGTCCTAATTTTATCTCATCTGATCAAAGGACGCACTTTCAGCATGTATGCTCTTTCTCTAGGTTGTCCTTAGCATACTTCAGGCTGGTTTGAAGGTCTTTCCTGCAGGAATGGAGTTTTTCTTAGTCTGCAACTTCACAGTCCATTTCTGTGCAGGGTCCAAGTGATCATCTTTTTTGAGACTACACTTCCTGACTTGACTAAGTCATTAATTTGTGTCTTGGCAGTTGTTCTGAATGTTAGGTTTATATTGTTGGATTGTCATTTATGCTTAGAAATGTATATATGCTTAGAGTTATATGATCAATTGCATATTGATAGGATGTCTGATCCTTAGCAATCTGCTAAGACTCTGTGTGCCTTCCAGAGTGTTCTGGCATACACACACATCCTAAGGTCACGAGAGAGGTCGTACCTTCTCTAACTGATTTATGGTATAGGAGGACACCTACTCTGTATCTGTTTTAGTATAAGAGCCTTTGTTTAGGTGGACTGCTGGACTCCTGGCACCAGCAGGTCTGGGGAGTCTTCACAGGGTCACATTTTGTACACACACACACACACACACACACACACACACACGTATACCTACACAACACACAGACACGGTACTCTTTGTTCACATGTCATGACCTGTGTAAGACGTCATATGTTAATGAATCTATACATATTCATGTAACTATGGCATTATTTTTGTGCCACTATTCTGAGCGCACGTAAAAAAAATTTTGAGCACACGTAAAAAAAATGTGCAGGTGCAAGTGTTGCATTTTGAGGAGAAATTTATTTTGAGCGAAGAAAAGCTACATTTAAGTGAACAAAATTCATTGCTGCTGTAACAGCAGTCTGGCGAGGAAGGAGCGGCTAGCAGGTCCCGCGGGCATGTGGTGTGGAGGTTAGCCGGATAACTCGGAGCCGGTCAGTTAAATTAAACAACAGACCTTTATTCCTTGTCAGCAACATAAGACCATACAAGCCAGGTCTCCACGGCTCTACACTGTCCGTACATACATGTGCGGGGATCGGTAGTCGCTGCCGCCAGGCCGTTGCAATGGTGAGGTCTGTCTTGAGAGCAGAACACGAGCAGCATGTAATGGCTGCCACGCTATACTCACACACCCCCTAGGAGACTCCCCCCCCCCTAGTGGTGCTATAAAACAATAAGGGTTGTTACATCGCGTGCAAAAAATGGAGTTTGAAATATCACTCTTTCTGGGTCACAAAATAAACTTTTAAGATATTTTCATGCGAGAATGGTGCTGTGTAAACTTCTAATATCTGCTCGATTCATCAAGACATCACATATTTGCATAAGTGCTCTAACGTTTTCGGAGATGCCTGTTACCCACCAGCTGACCGGGTGGTCACTCGGGTTAAACATAATATATAAGGCTGAACTGACAAAAAAAATCATAGACTACACCACCAGGTATTATAGGAAAAACCATAAAGCCTTTGAACTAAAACAAACGCTGTTGTGACAGTGATGTACACTGTCTTGTTGGTATATATGCATGATTTGTATCACCTTAATGTTTCCCTCTCACCACATAACCAAACCGATATCATGACCAGCAGCTTTTACAGCTGTGGCTCCAGCAAACATCAGCTGATACTAGAAAGTAATATTAAATAAATTATAACAACAGCTGATCAAGCTTGAACATGCTGCTGTTGTTTAACGCAACATCCGCTGGTTTCCTCTTTCTGGCGCAAAGTGGGCGATAAACAAACAAGGGAGACGATCAACTGATCATTGATCAGTTTCATGATTGAAGTAGAAACGGGAGAGGGAGGGAGAGAGAGAATTAGAGAAGAAGAGGCAGCTGTGCAGCAACGTAAAGACAGAATAACTCCAGCTTTGTGTCTTTTTTTCATTCTAGCTGAAGTACGGGATGAATCGCGTTCCTTTTCCCCTCAATACGGATGTATTGTAATTGGTCCAGCCCAGAGTTGATCATGACCAATTGGCTAATCCACCACCTTTCATTGTTTATACCGTTACAAAAACAAACAAACATAAAAATGAAAAATCATCATCGGCCCACCGGGCAAATGTCCGGTATGCCCAATGGCGAGTCCAGCTATGCGGTCAGCTGGTGGGTAACGGGCATCTCCGAAAACGTTAGAGCACTTATGCAAATATGTGATGTCTTGATAAATCAAGCAGATATTTGAAGTTTACACAGCACCATTCTTGCATGAAAATATCTTAAAAATTTATTTTGTAACCCAGAAAGAGTAATATTTCAAACTCCGCCACTCTGTGTTGGGGCTCAAGAGTTGGGAGTTCGTCTTGTAATCGGAAGGTTGCCGGTTCGAGCCCTCTGTCAGTGCTCCCCAGGGCGGCTGTGGCTACAATGTAGCTTGCCATCACCAGTGTGTGAATGTGTGTGTGAATGGGTGGATGACTGAATGTGTAAAGCGCTATACAAATACAGGCCATTTACCAAATACAGGCCATTTCTGCGTTCCTCCGCCACTGCCTTGTTTGAGTTTTGGAAGAAATGGATTCTGGAATATTGCATTTTGTCATTTCGAGCTGATTGGAGACCAAAACAGCCAATCAGATTTTTTTGCATCCAAGTCTGTGATTGGCTGGTTTTGTGGCACGGTGAACAGAAAGAGTTGAACGCGCACGGGCAGAAATGTTGAGAGCGCAAGCAACACATTGCGAGCGAGCCCAAATACAAAAACTGAGCGAGAGGGGCTGCTATTGTGTGTGTGTGTATATGGATAATAGCAAACACTAAAATACATTTTTGCTCGCAGCAATGAATTTTGTTCACTCAAATTTAGCTTTTCTTCGCTCAAAATAAATTCCTCCTCAAAATGCAACAATTGCACCTGCAATTTTTGTTTTTACGTGCGCTCCAATTTTTGCGCGCGCTCAGAATAGTGGCACAAAAATAACACCATATGTAACCACAATAAAGAGCAGTGCTACGGGGGAGCTAACTGAGAGTGACTGGGGTTTGAGCGGAACGAACGGCGCTCATTAGAGTTCTCTCCCTCGTGCACGAGCAACACAAAGAGCTCTGGTGACTTGCGTCTTGCTTTTCCCATTGTAGTAGAATTGGCTTGGCGTTCCAGCAATAGGCCTGTGCTACACAGGCCTATTGCCTATTATGTGGCAGTCTTTGAATTTGTTTAAGATTTATTATTGCAGTTCTTGACACTTGGAAAAATCTTTTGCATGATGCTTTCTAGATGATAACCCTCAGTTTTAACTGGATTTTAAGCTTTGAGCACCACAAAGTTATAGCACAGCAGGGGCTTGTAAAAGAGCACTGGAGAAAACTTTGACAAAAACTTTAAAATTTCATATTGGGATTAATAATTTTATCCTCCGCAATAATTACTTTGTCTGGTTGCTTTTCTGCCTTGCAGTTTGCAGAGCTTAATGATTCGCTCTTCTGCTTTTGTGTTCACCTGATTCTGCCTAAAAAAATCAACCTGGTTTCAAGTGTTTGAAGTTCACAGAAACCATCAGTCGTGCCATGATTTGATGTTGAGAAACCCCTCTTTTCTTAGTTCTGATGCCATGCTTTTCACAGGGACACAATTTCGAATGCTCTGGGAATCTTTCCCAGCATCACTTTGGTCATTTTGCCAGCCAGTGCGGTTTTTTTTTAATGTGAACTAGTAGCAAAAAATCTATGCTTCTGTCTATTCAGGGTAGTCATCTGAGCGACTGCGAGTACGTCACATCTCCTCTCAGGCCATCGCTCAGCAAAGGCTGCGCCAAATACTGCAACACCACCAAACAGGTGAAAGAGGAACTGTTGCTTTATTTTTAACTTGATGCAGCTGAGTTATTATAGGCAATCATTTTTACATTTGCTTTTGTTTTATGTAATTTGTGATTTTTGTTTTGTCCGATCAGTTTAATTCTGCTTAGTTTCCTGTGTTTTATTAGTTTTTCATTTTAATTATGTGTGATATTTATCAGGATGTTCACAGTTGCTGAGCTGGATTGGAAGTGTTTTACTGACACACCTGATTGTCGTGTTTTGTCACTTCCAATTCCCCAGTGGTGGATTAGTCCTTATTGAAACATATATTTAATACATTTGAAAACATTTATTGGTTTTGTTCTGTAATGTGTGTGTGTGTGTGTGTGTGTGTGTGTGTGTGTGTGTGTGTGTGTGTTTCACAGGTAGCAAAGTGTTGTAAAGGTTTCTATGGTCCGGACTGTAAGCCCTGCATCGGAGGATTTCAGCATCCATGCTACGACAAAGGAACTGTAAGGAGGAACATTCAGGCAGCCTCGTCCCTCGGCTGATGTGTTTTAATTTTTAATTTTTTGCTTTGATTGCACACAGTGCTCTGATGGTATCCATGGTAATGGCTCATGTAGCTGTCAGGCAGGCTGGACGGGTATTGCCTGCCACATCTGCTCAGATCCAAACAAACATGGTGTGAACTGTGATGAAGGTAACGCCTCCTCTTAGCTGACAGCTTTTCACTATGTTCAATGAAATGTCCATTTCCAATTTGATGTATTTACATACAGAAATTATGCTTTTTAAATTTCGTTTTAGTTTTTTCTTTTAAGTTCAGTTTTGGTTCTGTTGGTTTTCAGAGCGACTTTGCTTGTTTCATTTTGAGTTTATTGTTTATTTAATGTTTATTTTTTCTGTAGTTCTTGTAAGTTTCTATATTGATTCTGGGTTTTTACCCCTCAGCTGTAAAAGGCTTATGGGGCATTATTGTCACCCTGCTGGGCGGGTGGATAGCATGGTCATGCACGTTTGGGAATGTGAGTTATTGTAAATGCTGTAAGTCGAGAACAAGGCAATGTAGGATTTTGAAATTTATACTGTAGGTCTGTCTACTAAAAATCTCAGATGTGTTCAAATTGCAGTGACCTCGAGTTCATGGGACCTTGAGGTCAAATTTTCTGAAAATCTTGTGATTCTCAATGAGGCAATGAAGGATTGTAAAATTTATACCATAGGTGTGTCTAATAGGAGGCTGAGGGATAGCACTGGCAGCAGCCATTATTTTTATTTCCTAAAATCAGCATGAATTATGTATTATCCTGAGAATAAAATGGCCTTTGGTATTCTGATTTTTTTATTGGTATTCAGAAAAGGTATTGCAATATCTTTCTTTTCTGAATACTAAGGGTCATTGAGTTGCAGACATGGCATCCTGTCTCGATAAATAAATTAAGCCTCCTGATGCTTGCTGAGTTGATAAATTTGAAGAAAGTAACAAAAGAACGAAGTATGAGCTCTACACAAGAGTGACTGAGCTCCTCAGCCTGTATATAAGCCCACAGACACCCTATGAAGGAAGCTCATTTCCTCTGCCTCTATCCTCAGACCTATTCTTTTGGTGAGGTTAGGAATGTAGAACAACCAGTAAACTGGCCTTCATGCTGAGCCCTTTGTTCACCACAGCAGACCAGTACAAGGTCCACATCACTGCACCAATCCTGACATGAATGGCCTTCTTAGAATTTTATTGTCGATCCATCCAACAGTGGTTGAGGCCCTTTACCCAGAACCACATAAATCACACTAATTTATGGACCTGCTAGAAGAAATGAGGCCAAAAATATGATTAATCTTTGGAAATCATATTTACAAATGCTTCATTTTTACCCTTATATCAACATCCAGTGTCCTGTTTTCTGAGGCTTAACTGGATTAATATTATTATAATAACTATTTAGTGGGAAAAACCTCTGTATATGGAAATAAAGTACTGTACAGAGGGTAATGGAGGTGCATTTTGTTTAAATTTTCAAACTAACTGACTGAAAATTATGACATAATGTGTATGTGCTTGTCTTTAGATTGCCGCTGTGTTCACGGAACGTGTGATAACCGACCAGGCAGCGCTGGTGTGTGTCGGAGAGGTTCTTGTTTGGAGGGATTCTCCGGGGACCTGTGTGACAAGACGGCCATGCCGTGCAACGCAGACGGACTGCTGCAGCATTGTCACATCCACGCATACTGTAATCAGACAGGACTGGCTATTACGTAAGAAAATACTAAACATAAAACCATTACTATAACTTGATGCTGAGAGATCGTTTTGTGTTGAGTCACTTTTTAGGTGTTGTAAATTTTTAGACAGCAAAAACTTTCTTGTTCTTGCCGTGGCTCCTGAGGTCTGTTTTTGGACATTTAATTAGCATTCTGGAGCCATCCCCGCTCGCTTACTCCTCAATGTCTGAAACAAACTGCACAAAACTCTTTGTAATCGGATGTATCCTCAGTTCTTCTTTGGACTACGTTTTCGGATTAAGGTACTTGTAATAATCAAGGATTAAAGACTTTGTACAATACCTGCAATTTTTAAGTTTCACTACTGGCCTGAAAAGGAGGATGCTTGATCAGATCTGGGATTTTTTGTGAAGTAGGCCAAGTTTTCATCAGAAATGCTATTCTAACTTGCGTTAGCATGACTGATCTTCTCGTGACAGATGGCATACTGTTGGCAGATGAAGCTATCAGACAGATAGACATTTGTGACAGTTTATTCATTGATATAGCTTTGTTGTGTTTGGCCCAGCATGAGAAAATTATCCTTTTTTTACCCCAGATCTCTCCATCCATCCATCCATCTATCCACCAGCCCACCCTGTTGAGTCCTTTGTATCCACCTGCTCCCAGGACACCAAGTGTTCTTGTGCCAGCCAACAGACATAAACTCTTCCACATGTCCTGCATGTGGAGGAGTTATGGCTCTACTCTGAGCGCCCCCTGAATAACTTAGGGCCTCATCCTATCTCTAAGTGGAGGCTTATTTTTCTCAAAAATGAATGAATGAAAAAATGAAGTTTGAACAACTGCACACCCTGGGTTTTGTGATGAGGAAACGTATAGCATTTCTTGTTGTTTTTTTATGTATATATAAAAGCTAAGTTTTACTTTGAGTTTTATAATAAAAAAAAAACAAAATCTAATGGGCGTTTAAGAAACTGCCCTGAAATTCATGTGGAAACGTTTAATCAAAAGCCATAATCAAGCCAAAATGTCTCTTCATCCATCATCTTATGATCAAATAACTGCCAAAGGTTTAAATGCTGGCGTGGTTAAAATGTTCTGGTTGTCCTGTACTGTTGTTTAAATAGATTTTTAGTAATTCCTTCAGCGATGTTCTGTGAAGAAATAAACAACAGGGATTTGTCACCTCTGTTATTGCATCACCTGTTGAGTTTGTTTAACTGTGTGTGTGTGTGTGTGTGTGTGTGTGTGTGTGTGTGTGTGTGTGTGTGTGTGTCTTACATAAGGTGTGTATGTAAGGATGGATATGAGGGTGACGGTCACTCCTGTACTGCCATCAACCCCTGTCTGAAGAGTAACCGAGGAGACTGCGACACCAATGTAAGATTATTTCTTTGTGTGTGTGTGCATGTGTGTCTTCAAAGCAGTGATAGGATTTAGGACAGAACCCCCCCGGAGTCTAGACGCTGATGGTGGTGAAGGAAGAAGCCTGAGGCTGTGAAACGGGGCTCTGACTGAGGTGTCTGTGGGTTGGGGATTGGGAGGAGGAGGGTTGAACGAATGAGGGTCTGTAGTACAACGGAGATTTGACACAAAAATGGAAGCTGATTGGCTCAAAGAATGTGGGCAAGAAGATAATTGGACTAGAGTAATGATGTCAATATTGAGATTGACAGTGTGGGAAATCTTTAGTGATGTAAAGAACAGAAAAGCAGCCGAACACCCAGGAAAGCAGACAGATGAGTGACTATAGAGCTTTCAAATTGAGTTTCATTTCAATAAAGCACACAAATCGATTTACTAATGTTTGCAACATTTCAACTTACTGCTTGTATATTTAATGAAGAAGAAAGAAAGAAGAAGAAAAAAGCATGTCTTATATTTCTTGATCGATACTGAAATGAACTGACTGAGCCTGTGTTTAAAAAATAGCTATCAACTAACTAACAACAACTATGAAAGCTTTTTGGGGATTATGCTCACATACTGTTTTGTCACATTTTTTTTTTTTTGTAAATCTGGCTTTATGTGTTGTTGTTCTGCTATATTTATTTAATGTGTGTGATTTTATTTAACTTTTCACCTTCAGTAATCATAAAGATAAGCTCATTCAGTGCAGTGTTCTTGTCTTTGTGACACATCCTCTTTCTCTGCAGGCTGAGTGTGTGTATGCGGGTCCAGGTAATGCTTCATGTGTGTGTGCTGAGGGCTGGACGGGTGATGGCAGAGTGTGTGTGGAGATCAACAACTGTCTGCTGGAGAGTCGAGGAAGCTGCAGCACCAACGCGGACTGTAAACACATCGGACCCGGACAGGTCGGTGCTTAAAATTTGTGATAGGATAAACTTTGAACTATGTTCATTGTGAATTTTCAGCTCCATATTTTGATTCTTGTACTCTGGTATAGAAGCTCAGTATAAATCCTGGGCCAAAACTAACCAGAGATCACTTGTATATATGCTGACCACATTATGTAAAAGTTGCAAATATGAGAATTCACCATTGTATATGCAAAAATAACTGGTTATTAACCAGCTGTCAGGCTGTTCTGTTTCTCATCTGACTGTTTCTCCATCTGCAGAGTGACTGTGTTTGTAAAACTGGATACATGGGCAATGGAAAGGTGTGTGTCCTCACCAACCCCTGCCTAAAAAAAACGGAGGCTGCCAAGCGATACACACACACACACACACACACACACACACACACACACACACACACACACACACACACACACACACACACACACACACACACACACACACATATATGAAGTAAGAATGACTAATTATACCATAGATCACAATTTCCCAACTTTTGGGTTAAATAAAGCATGTTGGTTTCGAATGAGATTGTAGTGTTATGTGATCAGCAGCACAAACACCATGTAGAGTGTAGCTCCAGTTCAGTGAGTCAGGAGGTGAAGCCTAGCAGACACTTACAGCTACAGTTGTCCAAGTCAGCACACCTGTTAGTCAAAACCTCTAACTTTTAAGCCAAATATATAAGATGTATAGTTATTATTAATGGGGAAAATTAGTTATAGAGCCTGGTACCATTGTAACAGGCATTAAATAGTTTTAATGCTGTAAAGTTGGGTATTTTAACATAGGAGTCTGACGGGACTGGCTTTGTTTTGGAGCCAGCCTCAAGCTTCAATTTAAGCCTTGGAGGTTAGCACTCAATAATGATAATTGTAGCTTTTCTCATTGATGGGTTACACTAACTCTGCATTCAGAAAAATGTATCAACAGTGTAAATCCATTAAGTTTAAAGGTAAAGATTCAGTCCCATCAATTAACGTTTGTATATAACTACAGAGGAACTCTACTTGCAGGGCAAATAAGGTGCAATTAGGAAAAAATATCTTAATGATGATCATTAAAACAAATTAGTTTGAAAAAATTAGGTAAAATAGCTAAAAGATTGTGAAACTTTTTTTTTATTAGCATAATGAGATTTGATCAGACATCAAGAAAGTATTTGAAGTCTTTGTCTGTTGGATGAATTTTATTAAATCTTTAGAGAGCTTGTGATTCTTTTCCCAACATGAAATTTTTTCCTTGTTTGGCATTTTGTATTGGGGATATGATGAGAGCAACCTTAGTGAGACCCATAGTCAGAGCAGCCACTTTCACCAGATGAATCAAATAATTACAGTTGATTCGAGGTCCTGATCTGTGTATGCTAACAAAGAAAGCATCCCTCTGTGTGTAGAAAAGCTGTTTATGGTCACACTTTGTAGAAAATAGTTCATACTTCTAGTCATTGAAGAGACCATAGTATTATTGCTTTTCTATTTTTAAAGTTTAAATCTTTATCCCTTGAGAGCATAGTAGGCATAAACCTTGTTTCTCTTTTCTGCCCTGCTTGTAGAACAGAATTACTGGGTCTGCATCACAAGTTAGTGAGGGTGGTCTCTGCCTACTGTAGCAGCTGCTCTTGGAAAACCTGAAAACTATTCTAATGCTTGTCAAACCTCATCTTTATTGATGTCGGAACTTTTCATTATGTTTGGTACAGGCGATGTCATCAACTGTTATCTCAAAGGAAATTCTTGCATGTAAAACAAAAAATTAGTTTGTGAGTACTTTGTGATGCCACAGTATTAATGATTTAGATTAGCATCCTATAATTCTCTCTCTCTCTTTCTCTGTGTGTGTGTGTGTTTTTTGTTTTTTGTATGTCAGGCAAAGTGTGAGAAGACAGATGGTGGAGGTCACACCTGTACCTGTCCTGACGGCTACGCTGGAGACGGAAACATTTGCTACGGATCATTACTTGACGTAAATACTTAGCTCATCATGATCCATTGTGGTTATATAAGTTGAACTCATTCACTTTCATGGTGAGCCAAATCAGTTTCACTATGTTAAGTGAAAATAAAATGAAAGACAGTCAAAGTGTGGAACTAATATCTTTTTCATAATCTGGATTGAAGGCCGTTTATATTTATTTACTGCAGGTGCTTTAATTTCATTTCAACCATACAACATTTTTCAGGTTACACTCAGATTTTATGCTTTAGGAAAAAAAAGCATACATGTGGCCAATGTGTAGCCGGTCCTCAGGCTGCAAAAGAAAAGGAAAAAAATGTAAATTATTTATTAGTTTATTTATTGCAGAAAAAATAAATTTAACATGAGCACTCAGAGAACACGAGCAAGGATATAATAAATCTGTTTTATGATGTTTCTATTATAACAGGCTGGCATTAACCTGCTTATAAAACAACGCATTGATGTCTGACTTTTGACCTTTGACCTTGAAACCTTACATACTAAAATGTTGTATTTTATGATTTGTACTCATATGATTGTAGCACAATTGGCTGAGATCTTTAGCCTCTATATAAAAAAAATAAGATTTTAAGATGCATTCATGAGTTTTGCAAAGTTTATTGCATCATTGTGACATCATAGGGCATCTAATTGAAAAAACGTGTGTTGGATCGCCTTCTCCATGCTATATGTTTTATATAAGTTTATATAGACTTATACGACCGTGGCTCAGGGGGTTGGGAAGTGTATCTGTAACCGGAAGGTCGCCGGTTCAATCCCCGGGCTCTCTGTCCTGGTCGTTGTGTCCTTGGGCAAGACACTTTACCCTACTGCCTACTGGTGTTGGCCAGAGGGGCCGATGGCGCGATATGGCAGCCTCGCTTCTGTCAGTCTGCCCCAGGGCAGCTGTGGCTACAACCGTAGCTTGCCTCCACCAGTGTAGTGAATGAATAGTGGCATTGTAAAGCGCTTTGGGTGCCTTGAAAAGCGCTATATAAATCCAATCCATTATTATTATTATTATAAGTCATATAAGTCAAATGTCTGGGCATGGGTTTAGTTCTTTTTTTTAATTAAGATGCCAGATTGCAGTTATTTTTTTGCCTTTCTGAACAGAAAAAAATGTTTTACTGGTTGAATGTTACGCTTGATAAATTTCTGACTCCTTAGAGAAGTCCAGTGCGTATATTTGGCTTCAGTTTGTTATTTGTCTCATAAATATCAATCTAGTTCTTACTTTTTAAAATGTTTTTAAACAAGATTTCTAAAATATTTCTGTTATTGTTTGTATTACTTCAGACTTGATTTATTAACTGTAATTCATTACACAGTTATGTTTCTGTGGGTGTGTTTGCAGGAGCTGGAGTTGAATGTAAAGATGTACAGTTTCTACCGGCTGACTCAGGTAAGTAAGAGGAAGACAAACTACTCTATAGTTATTGAACTTCGTCGGTTTTCTCGGTTCAAAGTTAAACTACATTAAAGCCTTGATAGCTGGCGAGTTTCCTAATTTAGTGACTGATGTTGAAAATAGGTAGAAATCTGGGATTTTCACCCCTTCTACAGCTGTTCTCCTGCAGCTCCCTCCTTTCTGTTTTGAGCCTCTCAGAAGACTGGTGTAGAGACTGACACATAAGCTAAAGACATTTACTGCTGTGCATTTTGGCCTGTTAAAAGAATATGTGTCAACTTAAACGCACACTGATTTTATAAAATATTCTACATTTCCACCTTCTGTAAAAATATGTTTTTGACAGGAAAGGGAAGCCTTTACAGAAATCGCTGTTTTGTCAACTGTGTGATGGTTTTCTCATCTATTGTTGTACATGGCACTGTAGTGGCAAAAGTGTTGTTAAAAGTTAAAAAATATGAATAAATTTACCAGCCAATGGAGTCAAGGCAGCCAAAACAATTAGACACCTACCCAGAATGAGTGTTACCTTTGACACAGGTGAAGCTTCTGTAGGTCCACCTGCTCATTGTTTTCATAAACTACTCTGCTCCAATGATAACTAAGCTGTATACGGTGTCATGTGATCAGCGTTTCAGTCATGCCTTTGAGGACCTGGATGGGAACTTAACTGTGTTGGTGCCTACTGGAGACGCTCTCAGGAACATGAGTAAAGCTGACAACTTATTCTGGAACACCCGACACCACCTGCCTTACTTTCTGCGGTTAGTAAAGTCACACACACATTAAAACTGATCCTTGAGCTCAGACAAAGCATGCCAGTGCATGAAGTTTGTGTGACAGCATCAGTGTTTCTAACACAAAATAAAAATGGAGCCAGCTTAGCACAAAGTCTAACTAAGAAATTTAGTTTACTTTTCTGTTTGTAGACTTTTTAAAATATTGATTTTATATTGAATTTTAATCTTCTTTGTCCTTTTGTTTGGTTGTTATGTTTTATTTTTTTCTGTATTATATAGTAATATGCTTGTCTTTAAACTCTGTTGTGTTTTAGTGCAATATAAAAATTAAAGTGATTTTTAAACCAGCTCACAGGAGTCTGCGGGGGTATTATGATAAGTTACAGAGAATCTCTGTGTATGGAAATGAGTATTTCCAGAGTTTTCTCCAGGCCATTGTAAATTTGATGAGACAGCTATAGACAGTGACTCATTTATCTAACACCACAATCTAGTTTAAGGTCTGTATGATCGTTTTCTTAATGAATCACAGAGATAGAATGATTTAAAGGGATACAGTATAATTCGCTTGAGATTTGGCAGATATGGGCAGCATGTGGCCAGAGGAAATCTTACTTTGCTTAAAAGGTGTCTCCTCTCCACATTAGCCTGGAGAATAAGAAGCCTGAGCTGTATTCTGCTTGTGGCCACATTTACATATTACCTGAATTGCTGACTATCACGCCTTAGGCATGTGCGATGTGCTTTTACCTTACCTTATCTTTTCACACTGCTTACAGCTGTTTGAGTTTATTAAATACTTGAATCCTCATATGATCCATAGGTGTGTCTCCAAAGACAGAGATCCATTTATGCATAAGACACAGCAGCAGTGACTGATAATTATTTAGTTATACCCAACACATACAGATAATCAGTCAGTAGCCAATAGTATTTCACAACAGGTGAGGCAGGTGAGCTGCCACAGAGAAGCACAGTTTAATGTTAATCTCTTGTTCTACAGATCGGTATGTAAAGTATTTGGGTATTGTATCAGTATAGTGTTCATGGATATTTGCTATCGCTACGATCTCTGATCTTTGTATTTAAATGTATAGCATAATATTTATTAATTATATGAACCCCCAGCCCATCGCCCTCTTCCCCATTGTCCAACTGATATTGAAAGGTCAGTTGTCCAGATTAAGTGGTGCTGCATTTCACCTATATTCATACCTAACTAAATGCAATCCTCCATAACCCAGCCAAAATTCTGGCTCCCACAGATTGGCTCTATGCCCATGTGGCAAAAATATTACAATCAATCAATTACAGAGATTCCTGATTTTAACTCCTTATCTGCCAAAGGAAGACAATATTGTAGACCTGCACAAGGCTGGAATGGACTACAAGGCCATCAGCAAGAAGCTTGGTGTGAAGATGACAACTGAAAAATTATTCAGATATGATAGAAAATAGAAGAAAAATAGAAATGTGATTAGGAATCACCCTCAGTCTGGAGCTCCATGTAATATTTTGCCTAATGGGGTGAAGATGATCTTGAGAAATAAGGTGGATCAGCCTAAAACTATGTGGGAGGGGCTTGTTAATGATCTGAAGGCAGTAGCAACCACAGACACCAAGAACAGCAATGGTTACTCACTGTGCCATAAATGAGGTCTTGCAGCACCCACAAGGTCACCCTGCTCAAAAAGGCACACGTACACGTCAGTCTTAAGTTTGTCAATGAACCTTTAAATGATTCAGAGAAGGTTTGAGACAAAGAGCTGTGGTCAGATTAAACCAAAATCAAATCAACCCGCTGTGTTTGAGGAAGAGAAATACTGAGGGTCACTCAAAGAATACCATCCCCACAGTTAAGCACATAAGTGGTAACATCATGCTTTGGGGCTGTTTTTCTGGTCAGGAGGGAGCTGAAGCTTTGTGTTGGCAAGCAGCATCCAAGAAACAAAAAGGATTTAGAATGTTTCTGTAATGAGGGGTGGGCCAAAGTCCTTGCTGAGATCTGTGCAAACCTGGTGACCAACTACAAGTTACCATTTGGCTTGCCAACAAAGGTTTCTCCGCCAAGTACTAAGTCATATTTTGCTTGGTAATGAATTACTTATTCCATTCAGTGACATGCGAGTTTCATGTACTCTGTGTTTTTTTTTTCTTTTATATTTCTGGATTCTCTCTCTGTCTCAATTAAAATGAAACTACCAGGTCTTCTGTAATTGAGCAAACTTACAAATTCAGCAGGAGTTCAAATAAGCATTTCCCTCACTGATAGTTGTATCAGTAAAGATGTTGGTGGTGCATCTGAAAGACTGTAAAAATTAAACATTTCTGTACTGTTTAAATTAGGAACTGCTGATCTGATAGATCACATGTCCTTTGCTGACAGGATCCTGGAGCGTGTTGTGTGTTTTAGAAAACTTTTCATTTATTTACTGCTCCCTTTGGTTGCAGGGCCCATGTGTTGAAGGGGATCTACTCTGTGGAAGATCTGGGCAGTATGGTGGGCAAAAGACTGCCAACTCTAAACCTACCCACTCAGTGGGAGATCAGCAACAGCAGTGGGGTAAGAGTGGGTCAGTTGTGTCTCACCACATAACTACACATTCTGGTGGGTTTACTCAGATTTTTTGTGTTCACAAGGTTTGCCTGATGTAGAAACTGCAGGTGTACAAGGGTATTCATGTCGCTACATTCATGTTAGATATAACTAGTTTCTATGGAAATGATTTGCATTTTATCCTCTTTAAACTGGCGCTTACAGACAAATGTGGTATACTTTAACAAAATTAGAGAGAAAAATCATTTCAATCATTCAATCAATTCAGTCAATCTTTCAATCAAAATCATTCTGTCATTTTAATTCTTTAATAAGAAAAATCTATAAGAATAACTTTTCAGTCAGTACCATTATGTTTGATATTGTGTGTGTGTGGCATGGGTGTGTGTGTGTGTGTGTGTGTGTGTGTGTGTGTGTGTGTGTGTGTGTGTGTGTGTGTGTGTGTGTGTGTGTGTGTGTGTGTGTGTGTTGTGTGTGTTGGTGTGTGTGTGTGTGTGTGTGTGTGTGTGTGCGTCGTGTGCGCCAGGTCATCCAAATTGGAAAAGCATCCATCCTCACCCCCAACCTACCTGCGATCAATGGCTATCTCCACTTCATAGACAAGGTACACGTGAATCTTTACAGTGAAATGAAAAGAAATAAATACAGATTTTTTCATGCAGAGCAAATAATGATGTGAATAAATAACATTATTAGCATATTAGTTTACTCTCTCTCCATCTACACATACAGAGCACCTTTCTCTCTGTCTGTCTGTTGTCAGATTCTGGCTCCGCCTCTCTCAGACCTCCCACCTGAGCCTCCCACACTTATGGCTTTCCTAAACTCCTCTTCCAACTTCACGCTTTTCAGAGAGTATGTTCTGGTAAGTCTGTCTGATCTCAGCATCATGTGATAAGATGTAATCCTTTTTTATTTTTAATCTTTTTTTCTTCTTCTTCTTCTTCTTCTTCTTCTTCTTCTTCTTCTTCTTCTTCTTCTTCTTCTTCTTCTTCTTCTTCTTCTTCTTCTTCTTATTATTATTATTATTATTATTATTATTATTATTATTATTATTATTATTACATTTAATTAACTTCCTGTGTGTTTTCTCTCAGATGTACAACCTGTCTTCAAATCTTACTGAGTCATTTACACTTCTGCTGCCAACAGATGAGGCTATAAGGCAGCATCTTAGCAGGACTAACACCTCCATCCTGGTAGGTCAATAATATAATTCAGTGGACAGCTGCTATTCTGCAAAACCTCCAAACACTTGTCAAGAAAATGGATACTTTAAAGATTGTTTTATACAACCTTTAAAGTATTTATACATTTCCCATTTTTAAAAATAACTCAAATAATTCAGAAATGAGCTAAATCTATTAACAAAATGTGAAGGAGCAACCACTCTTAGTTTATGTCCAAAAACATTTATGTAACGATCATTAGGTGTTAGAATATCAGCTGAGTTTAAAACATCTGGGCTGTATATTTGTGTAACACCAGTTGCACAAAAGCCATTAACTGGTACAGCGGGTCAGTATAACTATTATTTAATTTCTTATTTACAAAAAAAGGCAAACCTTCTTGAGAAACTGAGGGAGGGCGAAAAAAAAATATTACAAATTAAATGGCAGCATACGTGCAAAAATATTTCAATGCATCCACTGGTAAAACAGCACCTCCTGGTGGTGAACATTAACCCAAAATCTGCAGAGGGAAATTACAAAAAGTACCTTTAATATTATTTACGTATGTGAACTATGTGAAAACATTTATTGGCATCACAACATGTGGATTGTGCAACCTAAACGAATAAAGTGGTGAAATTCAGACTGACACACATTACGAACATCCACATCAAATAATAATTGAGCTGTTTCATATAACGCAAAATGAAGTGAGCATTCCCAGCAAACAATGGTACTAAGGTAGTTTGTTTGTACTGACCAAAATAATGAATCACCTTTTTGTGTCAGATATCTCCCTGTCAGGAGAGGAAGGAAATATCTGAAAGAGAATTGATGTCTATAAACCAGGCTATGTATTAATTTGGCACAGGATGTTTTATGTTGGTCTGCTGTGTTTGAACTACAGTATCTTAAAGATGGGCTACTAAGAGCTTATCTTAGATACTTACATACTGTTTATAACAAAACTCTAATTTGTGTATAAAGTGAAATGTTTGTTGCATTAACAATTTTTTTGTAGTTGACCATCATGTCCACTCCTTTTTTCTCTTCCTGCTGGTGAGATGATCCACTGCAACTCTTGTCTTTGGCTATAAATAAATCCTCTGTCTTCCATCTGTCCAGGACTCTGATATGTTCAAGTACCATGTGATTCTTAATGAGCTGCTCTTCCCTGACCGCTTGCCTGATGGCACACTGAAAAGCACTCTGCTTGGAACTGAGTACCAGGTCCAGTTCCACTTGGACAACAACAACCAGGTAACAATAACTGCACTGACACCAGCTTAACAGCCATGAAACTAGTGGTGGGTCATACAGCCTCACAATTATATCATTATATTCAAAGAAAATTTACAATAATGATATTTCTGACAACATAGAAGAAATACTGAGTAAGATCTTCTTAATACCTGCAGCTTCCAGGCAGCAGGATTTATAAGAGCTACTGTCATTTTTAAGAGACTTCTTAATTTGTAGAAACAGCAGCATGACACTGCAGTGGTAGTAACACAATAAACCAACTGTAAGGACAAAAGTAGTCTAGGTCGTGTTTTTCCCAGAAGTTCTCAGTAAAAGTCTAAAATGATTTTATACTTTAGTTTAACGACAACTAAGGTAATGTAACCTTGTAATTTGCCAGGAGCTGCACAATAATGTCACGTAATAAAAACTGAAATAATTTTCTGCCTGGGTTGTTGTGTTGAGCTTTTTATCCAGCTCCATATAAAGCCCCATTTTTCTACCATTACCTCACAATTAATGAGTGCTAAAACGTAAACATCCAGAAGGCAAACTAGCAGATTTAAAAAAGGTAAGACGAGACATACAGTGACATAGGAAGAAAAGGCAGCAGGGAATGAGTGGCTCCGTAACCACAGGGAGAAAGACTCTGCTGATGTTGAAATTTGTGAAAATTGGAAAATGGAAATATAATAGAATGGAAAATAGAACATATTCACCATAAAAATGGACATTCTCGCTAGAGAGGGCATCAGAGGGCATCGCTTGGTTGTAAAACTAAGTCCAATTGCATTGAGTTCTGTGGGAAAATGTACCTGCTGCTTTTTTGATCTGTTCAGTTAGTAAGTGTTTTCCTCATTAGTTTTTGGTCTCAGGTGTTAGTTTTAAGTCAAATTTAGTGCAGCATTATTTTCATTTTCTAAATTACGATCAAATTTAGAATAGGCCATTCCTTCAGAATGTGCTGACCTTTTAATTGACAAGTAAAAAGTCAGTGTAATGATGGATTACACTGGCTTTGAACTCCTGCTCAATAGTGATGTGCGATACCACTGATTTCCTTTCCGATCCGATACCAAGTAAAATTCAGGGTGGTATCGGCGATACTGATCCGATACCGATACTCTGTACAAAAACTTGTTTCATTGTATTTCATAATACAATATATAATTGTATTATGTAATTGTAATAATAACATAACCATATTGCTTCATAATGATTAGAGGACATCAGACAACTTGTTTTTATTGCTTAATAATGCAGAATAATCATATAGAAAAAAAAAACAAAAACCTGACGTTGTGAGCTATTTGAGCATGTTGCCTGCCTGCAGCACTAAAGGACTCTGCGAGAGACGTCTGTCTCGCCCTAGCAGCACCTGCCCCTCTCCTCCTCTTCAGTTCGCCTCAACATAAGCTCATAATATTCTGTGATATGATTTACTCTGAGGTGTTTGACGAGGTTAGTGGTGTTGCCACAACACCTCACTGTCTTGCCACATATATCACAAACCGCGTCTTGGCTGTTTGTGGAGGTAAAACACATCCACACACGTCCTGTTTGCACTTAGCCATTGTTGTGAGTGTGCACGCCAGGGGCTGCGACACATTTATACAGCCGTATTTCACATATGACTATGAAAGGCGTAAGAGGAAGTAGTTCCTTCCAAATTAGACGATCCAAATTATATAGTTTCTTTCCACTGCGTTCATTTTAATGGAAAAACTACAAATTTACCCCAGAGTACTAAAATATCGATATTATAATATGAGAATCGATTCTAGAACATAAATTGCTGGTATCGGAAGAATCGATATTTCAGTATCGATCCGCACACCACTACTGCTCAACAACAGTATTTCCTGTAGTGCAGAAGCAGACCAAAGAACCACTGTCAACTGACTCCCTAAGCTAAGATGATCGTTATTTTTGTTTTGTGTAAAAGATTCATTGTCAAAAAAAGATTGGTGTGTTTCTTCTTCTCTTGAACTCCAGACAGTTGTGAATGACATTCCTCTTGACGGGAGCGTCACAGTAACCCAGAACGGAGTCATCATAACGCTCCCTCAGGTCCTCAAAGTCCGCCGCAACAGATGCAGCAAAATGACCTACCTGCAGGTCGAGGTAAGGATAGAGAGAAGGGATGGGATAGATGGATGTTTGTTTGTCAGAGTTACTCCAGCCTCTCTGTTCTCCTTTCTGTCTCCAGGGAAGATGTACAGACTGTAATGGACCACCCCGATGCATTTTCTATCACAAACCAGTAAGAAAACTGTTATAGTTCGTGGGGTGGACATAATAACTGAAACTCAAGCTTTTCCAAAAGTAATTTTAACAACTTTAAAAATGACCCCAAAATTAACGCATTCATACTTTACAAAAGGGACCTGAAAGGGAGCAGGGTTGTAATTGTATGACGCGTGTCGCTGTTCTTAAAGTCATCGGGTTTTTCTGTTTAGTGTTTTTCAGCATTTCAGGCTCTGTTATTCACCTCTGCCTGTTTATGTTGATGATTCCTGATGTTGGTGTAATCTTTATGCTGCAGATCAAAAAACAGTTTCCAGCCAACATGCAACCCAACTGTAGGTACAGGAAGCGGGTCGGATCCAGGAGGAAGTCTGTGCTGGGCTGTGTCATCAAATGTCTCCGGACCACTATGGTCTGCTCAAACTTATTTCCATAAGCATTATGGCTCTTTTCATAAGGGTCTGATGAAACCTGATAAATGCATAATAATCAGCTAGAAACACCCGTCATCACTGACACAAACACAACATTGTGTACATGTTTTAAATTCAATAATAATAATAATAATCATCATCATCAGCATCATCATCATCATCATCATCATCATCATCATCATCATCATCATCATAATAATAATGATGATGTCATGGATTTGTCTGCCCTACAGGATCACTCCTGTTGCCCCGGTTACTATGGCCACGAGTGCTTCAAATGCCCCGGAGACGTCGGCAGCTGGTGCTCCAATCACGGGGAGTGTCATGATGGTAACCATGGCAATGGCGAGTGCCAGTGCTACGAGGGTTTCCATGGAACTGCGTGTGAGGACTGTGAGCCGGGGAGATACGGAGTTAACTGCTCCTCCAGTAAGCAACATGCAGACACACACACGCACAAACACAGACACACACACACACACAGGGTGAAGCATTTCCTGTCTGCCATATTTTATATTTGTCACAAGGGGGCGTTACCCGGTGACGGTGGAAAAACAGCTAAATAAATATTTAGGTGTATTGACTGTAGATGTGGAGAAGAGACAAACGAGACTCGACATGTCAAAATCAATGCTGTTTAACTATGTTTGCTAGATTTTCTACATCATCATTTTAGGGCTGTTTATAAAATCATTCAAGTGCTAACGGCATTCCTAGTCCCCAGCTTCTGATTATAACAAAAACTGAGCTTCTGAGACACAGTCTTACACAGCTAAAAAAAATCTATAATACTAACAGCCCTGTGAACAACAACAAAGGATCCATCCATCTTAGATCTCCCTCACCCACTCCTGTGCAAACACTGACATGAGCTGTGAGATCAGGGGTCTCCTCCAGGTTGGACCTCCACCAAAGACCTCCGCTAGTAGCCATCAAGGAGGCATCCTAGTTAAATACCTGAACCACCTCGACTGGCTCCTTTCAATGTGAAGGAGTAAACAGCTCTGCCCTGAGCACCTTCATCTTCATGCCAATCTAGACAAATGGCATCAAGGGGAGAGCTCCAAGGAAAAACGCACTGCTGGCCAAAAAGAACTTAAAGGATTGTTGCCAAATAAACATCTTGATGATCCCTAGGACTCTTGGAAAAATATTCTGTGGAGTGATGAGACCAAAGTGAAACTTTTTGCAAGGTTTGAGTCCTGTTACATCTGACTACAGTGATTTCTAATTGACATAATCTTGGCCAAGTCATTGTTTATGCAACACTTTGGACTACAATCATGTGACTTAAAAATATAGAAATTGGCAAAAGCTCATTGCTCAAAACTAGCACCACTGATAAACAATGGGCTAGTGAGGCCGGTTTCTTGATTGCATACTCATTAATATGCAAATTGTCATGACCATTGATTATTGATCACTGATCAACAACAGTTGATCAATGGCCATGAGTACCATTCACAGAGAGTTGAGGAATGGCTGCAATCACAGCATTGTAAGATGGTGAAAGATGTACCTTTGACCCCCTCCTCGATTCAGAGATGGTCTTTCCCTTTTCAAGTAAATGGCCTCTTTGACTCCCCACTCAAACCAGCGTTCCTCCCTGTCCAAGATGTGTCACTATAAGAGTGTCCACTGGCCTGCAGGTGTAAATAGACTGCGGAGTCCTGGCCGGACGAGGTAGCTCTTCTGTGTTGTGCCATCCTTTCCCTGATGTATTATGGCAATCCTCCTGGCACTTAACAGTGTACACTATATTACTCTGTTTGTGTCGGGGGACCTGATCCATGGGGATTTTTGGCGCAGCATATTTTGGGGTTTAAAAGCCACAAAGACGCGGCGTTTACAAAAAAAAAAAAAAAGCATCTCAACTGTTCCGATACTCCAGACACATAAGGGATCATTACAGGTTTTTGCTTTTGCAGCAGTTGTCCTTCTCTCCTGAATCGGTTGGAGCTTTCTTTAAGTGCCTTCCCAGCTTTGATAAATGTCCAGCTGAGATAACCACATTTACTCAGGGCCTTCTTGATGTGATGTTCTTCTGTTTCCAGCCATGTTGTCTGTGGAGATGGTGTTTGCTCTGTGTTGCATCCCGATGACACCAAGTTTGTGCTCCAATCAATGATGAGAGCCAAACCTTAAATACTGATCCATATGCATAGGTTTACAGTACACGTTAACTTTAAATGTCTCCTGATAGACTTACTGATGGAAATCTCACAGTCTCATTTTTCATATCTTCCCGAGTGAATTTGATGTGTTGGTCCACGGATCACAATTCACTGTGATCCGTGAATTGTGGTACGCCCTTAGATTTGATTTTCAAACCAGGTGTCATCCACAAACCTGAACCAATGACTTGGTGGTGTTCCAGGGTAGGATAGCAAAGCCCTCTTTTCCACTTCTTCCATGTACAAATTAGCCACAATGAGTGAAACTGGGGAACCCATGGCACACACATGTTTCTGCCTGTAGCACTGACCTTTGTATGTGAAATATGTGGAATGAAGACACAGTTCCAAAAGCAAACACACTTGGTTGGTGCTGAGAGTGGTCCTGTTGCTGAGATTGGGGTCATCCTGTAACCTCTTACGAACAACCTCCACTGCTTCAGTGACTGAAACACAAGTGAAAAAAGTTTCTCCCACTGAAAACGTGATGTCCTGATGAACAGAAACAACTTTTTGTGATTTCCTTTGCTGGATGATTGAGCATGCATCAAGACATTCACCAGGCAAAGCTAGTAGGTGACAGGTTTGCCACAACTGAAAATCAAATGGTATTTTTGCTTGAAAAACTCATCCATACTGCAGGAGTAGCTGCAGGGGTTTGATGCTTTGATCAGGCAGCAAGGACAGAGAAAACCAGCTTCAGGTCAACAGCTCAATAACTCTGTTATTAGCAAAGCAAAATAATCTCATAAAGCTAACAGACCTGTGACTAACACTTCATTAACTAAATAAAGTCAAGGAGGGAGTTATGAGTTGTACTGTGTGTGTTGCAGAGTGTAATTGTGCCAACGGGAAGTGTGAGGATGGTCTGACAGGAAGTGGCAGGTGTGTGTGTTATAAAGGCTGGAAAGGAGCCTCCTGCTCTCTAGGTAAGACGTCTATACAAAGGAACAATTAAATTTTAACCACACATATTTTCTCTGACCTGTCATCACCTGAAACCTGTGTGTGTGTTATGTGTCTCAGAGATCAAAGATGACGCCTGTGGAGGTGTGTGTGACGAAAACGCCAAGTAAGTCAATGTGTCCTCAGTTGCTGTGTTTCATGATGGTAACAGCACAAGCACAAAAAACAACAAATATTATATTTACTGACCATAATATTCTTTTTGAACTCAGTGCTACCCAGTACAGTTAGGCTTAAATTTTAATTCTGCACACCTCATTAATAGTCAGGTTTTGATAACATGGTCCAAAAGGGGGTTAATATCCATTATAGGCATATTTGCAGATGCATATAGCCTTTAACCTGCCAGCTCTGCACTTTAAAGTCTGTGGGATGTCCAATTAAGCTCATGTGAGAGCACCACAGGTAACTGTCCAAACAGAGAATTCCCATCATAGTAACGGGAACGTGGATGAAGCTCTTTCTGCAGGCTCCATGTGAGAAAGCTGTGGGAAATTAGTGATAATATTATTATAATATTATTAGCTGCCTTTTCTCTGCTTGGGCCAGGCAAGTAAATGAATGTTGCTGGTTGATATTGGTGTTTAAGACACCTATATCAACCAGCAACCATGCTAGGTTGTTGGTTTTAAGAAAATGAGGTTTGTTCTGAGTTTAACTAATCAGCATTGAACCTTGGCAGTTTTTCAGAGCTACTCACTTTTTACTCTTTACTCTACATCAGCGGTCCCCAACCCCCGGGCCTCGGACCGGTAGTGGTCCATGAGTCGTTTGGTACCGGGCCGCAAGAGTTGAGGCTCAGGTGTGAAATCAGGGTTTTTATCGGTTTTTAGCGTTATTTTGTTATCGTTTTTATCGTTAACTCGGTTTTCCTGGGTCTTTTCACGTGTGTTATGAATAAATCTTCTTTTTTCGGTACCGGTACAACATCCATTTTATGACTGCAAAGCAATAGCTATGGGTAGACTAAAAGACAGACGTATCTTCCAGGTGTAAAACGTGAATCCAAATTGCAATTGCTGGAAAACAGCATTATTTTTCATGGGCACCAGGGGGTGATACCTGTGGCTGCCAAAAGACTTGCAGTACTGTAGAAATCTATGGGAAAACTGCCCTCTGATCCCTCTTCTGAAAACTCTTTCCAGGCAAGTTTATGGGCTAAGTAGTGGTTTCAGATGATGTTGAATGAAAAATTTCATTGATTTTGTAAAATCATTCTAAGCTTTCACAGAGTCACCTATTTAGTATTTTTAATGATGTTCTAAAACCAAATGAGCTAGTGTGAAGAGTACAAAACCGGAGAAATATGAGCTCACTTACCACTTTAAGGAGTTATGAGTCTGGCAGCAGCATTTTGTTTCTCTTGGAGGTGTGAAAGAGATGATTTGTCTAAGACGATAAAGAGGGCAATACATTAATCTTGGCATGATGACACAAATGCATGAAAATATTTCTCCAGTTCAGCTGAGTTAGATCGAAGTTTGGAGTTGTTCCTTAAAAGAAAGAAATAGAAATGTGAAATACATTTTTCATGTGAGTCAAAGGATAAAATATTACATCAAGACTACAAACACAGACTCAGCAGATGAGCAAAAACAAACAAGAGTCTGACTGATTCTGGAGGAACGATAGTCATACATAAGTCTTCTCACTTATCTGTGGTAAGCAGTCACATAAGGTGGACAGTGTATTCAAAGTCAACTGTTGAGGCTGTAAAGACATACACAGCTGAATGTCATCAGCATAGAAATGATAAGAGATGTCAGAAAAATATCAAATGATGCCATCTAACAAAGAAGAATGTAAAAAGAAAAACATAACGGACCCTGAGTTGAGCTAATAAATGAGTGGAGTGAAAGGGTAAGAATTCTGCAGTTTGCATGATTAGAATCGAAACTAAAAAAATCAAAATTAGTTAGTGAGTGTGTCATCTCAGAGTCAGATCAACCCCTTGTTGCAATATCTGGGCCCTATTTCAGGAAGCCGGTTTAG